CAAAGGATTAAACTCTGGGAGTATCCACCTTAGGTAATGGTGTATATTAACGCTCATTAAAGTAGTACTTTCCGGCGTTATTCTACCTTCTATTAATTTTTCATTTAGTTAACATAGTTATTCGGTTATTTAGAGCTCTTTTGTCATCCAAGATGTTGCTGTTTCCACACTAACTTTTTTTTACAAATGTCCTGATTTTAATACTGTATATCCTAGCTTATCCGTTAAAGCAAGTCGAACTTCGCAAAAAACTATATTTGGTCTTTCTACGTTTACCGTTCGTTCTTTCCTGTACGTTACGATCAGAATAGCATGTAAAACCTCCATACTGGAGCATCATCCGATAGAAAATGTCTCGAGTTCAACGTCCGGTACTACCACTCATCAATACTTCAGACCGCTGGCTTAGTATGCAAACATGTTATCAATAAACCATCGTAAGGATAACTTCTTTCGTCTGGCAATCGCTTGTGCTTCCGTGAGTTTCGTGTTTATAGTCCTATTATATTCGGCGAACTCGATTCGGTTTTTGTTGTTGGCCATCCTTATGATTGTCCCAAAAAAGTATTATTAAAAGCACGAAGCTATCCAAAAAGACAACAAATAACATTCAAAGTAATAATAATTAAGCGATATTTTTCTTTTCAAGTGAAAATGCGTCGAAGTAGCTAAGCTTCTAGCTCGTTCGAGACATCAACCTCACAGTTATTTTACGTGAATAAAGAATTCGTTATGGGAAAGTACTGAATAGGAATTGCAGACAGCTACAGTAGTGAACGCATATATGCTTCCATTCACGGTTCATGTTATCCCTGGAAGACCAAAGGCAGCCATCATAAAAAATTATTTATCCAGTCAAGAAAACAATGTTATTCATGCAGCTCCCCCTTCCTGCTGTATCAATGCCGCTTAATATCGGGCCCTATCGTTAGCCTAGCGGTGATGTGTCTGCTCAATAGATTACCGGCAGACAATTATTAACTAACAAAATAAAGAAATTAATTCTCATGGAGAGCAATGAATTTGATTGTATCGCTAATTATTAGACGAAACGTTTATGACTACTGGTAGGTAACCATTTGAGACGCTTTCACTGCCGAAGCAATTTCAGGTATCTCTCAGATGTTCTCGTGTTCAATAGTTCAGCTGATGTTCTAGTTCGGAGAGATATAAGAAGCCCGTAATAGTACATTGAAGAAGAACTACACTGGGTGCTTACGTACCAAATCGAAAGCTCACAAATGCACATATATATGAGAATTCGTTAATTTTGGACAATTCCGTCTGAATTTACGGATCACATTGTTAGGTCTACTAAATAGTTTGCATACAGAGTAAATGTTAAAGGTACAATAAATTTACTCAGTTTATAGCTATGAGCCATTGAAGTGTGTTAGAGTCTTGCAGAACAACCCAATTCCAAAAATAAAAAAAAAAAAATGATACTGGTTAACCAGTACTACCAGTACAGGAAAATACTCCCTTTGCCAGAGATGATAGCAGAACAAGCTTGGACAGCTAACTCGTTTTTCCGTCCACGATTGCCTCGAACCGCTTTGTTAGCGCGTTGAAAACTCTTGGCTATATCCATCTTGACCGAATGGCAATAGGAGTCTCTATTCAAATTGGTTGATATTTGGCCATTCCTTTCGAATGCGCAGCCCTCTCAACTTCTAATGTTCGTTTTGGCCCGAAGTTGGTAGGATGACATAAAGTCCAGTTTTCATTCAAAATTTATAAAATAATAATAAATTATATATAATAAATAAAAAAACATTCAAAATAAAATCACATGTTTCTGTAACGGAACTTCTTTAGTGAAGGTAGAAATGGCACCATTCGTTTAGACAAAAATCGTTCGTCAGCCGCATGGATCTCGTCATCGCACAGAACAGGTCGTTTGCAAAATCACCCTCCTTTGGACTACTGACTTGTGGTGATAATTATTGACACAAAGCCATTACGTTCATTAGCCGATATTTGTCGAAGCTAGCTTTTCGGGATGAAGAGCTACTGCTTCTGCTAGTGCTTTTGGAACATTGGTTTGTCACTCTCGTTGCTCGGCTCATTGCGCTGTCGGTAGTGCGTATCTCTTTTTTTATGTAATAACACGCTGGTTTATCAGCAGTACCACGCACTCCCAAGACAGCTGTTCACATTGTGTATCTCTTTCCATACTATGTTTATTGAAGTCTAGGCGTACATCCCACTCCACATCGTCGACTAGCGAAGTATGTGGGCGTTAAAGAACCAGCGCGGATTTATTTGTCATGGTCTGACGAAGTTATACTTCACTTAACATTATGTTGCCGGATGAAGCCAAAGTCGAAAAGTATTCTCAGACATACATTGAACAGCCGGCTTCATAGAGGCAACACCGTATATCTACAAGCATAAACTTTCTGGTACCGTGTTCAGCTAAGGTGTATATAAGAATATTGCTTTTAAAGCTACTTCTAGATCCTTCTGCTAAGCATTTATCTTTGCCGAAGTTTATCTTTGCTCCACTAGTTTTATATATCATTTTATCTGGGTTTTTGCATGGGAAGTAATTGACTTCAGCTAGATTCTCTCAGCTCTGTTTAAAATAGATTATACTATTCAGGAATAACCTGAACTTTGTATGGTAAAAGTAATGCTGAATCATCAGCAATGAGCATGAGTCAGATGGTATCTGTGCGGTCATTCCTAACGAAACGGGGCAATTCGCCTAACAAGTGTTTCAAGCACCGCACTCTCGGACCCATAATATTTTTTCCCTTTCCTGAGATAATTACACGATCTATCGCAATTGACTGTGTGAGTCGCGGTATTATTGGTGCTAAGCTGTGGACCGGTCTTATATTCTGTCACTACATGTTTATTCTAGCTTCATTGCACACTTTACACGTAACATTCAGAAATTAGAGGGAAACGATCGGATCGCAAAATGACGCGACCACAAAACAACTGGATATGTTTACGTAAATCGTGTTTTATTACAAATCTCATACATTTAATATTCTACTTCAATATAACATCAATAAGGTGTCCTTCTTTAGTTGGGACTTCGTGACTGCTCAACTTCTTTTTACGGTAGCGCCCACAAAAATCTGCGGACAGTATACAAACCTGAAAAAAAACATCGTGTCACCATTTCAGAGATAGCGTCAGGCGTGGGCAAAAATACTGGATGAAGCAAGCGGCTCTTATTAAGAAAGTTAAGGTAGCCCACCTTATTTATGTTCTATCTAAATAAGATTTTATTATATAAAGTATGTAACAAAGGAAGATGAATGCAAATATATGCAGTTGTTTTTTCTCCAATAGTAGGCTGAAAAAGTTGAAAAAACTGTCTGATAGACAATTCCCTTTGTGAAGTATTGCTGCACGTGTAAGTGCCTACAGTACACTTCCCCTCCTGTGGTGGCCGTAAATTTTGAGCACAAGTCAACGGCAATGGAGCCCTTTTAAGGCTTCGTTTTTTCAGTGTACAGTTAGTTTTCAAAGGTCTCTGGGAGCCGTTGAAAACTTTCAGAGTCTTCACGCTCATTGATAGCGGAGGTCGTATGAGTCTCTTCTGCAATGAAATCTCGTATAAAATAATGTCGCTTTATTAGATTTGCATGTGCCCCGAATTAATGCAGTCCAGCCTTGAGCCATTATTAGTATGACAGCAGCCGCACTCTGCCACATTTGGCCTTTTTTTAATATCATATGAAAATGGTCTCTCGTGTGCGTCTTGATCTCCAGAAGAGCTTCGACGTCTTAGTGGGTATCCGTAACGAAAATCGATTTGTTGACAATCGAAACAGTAAGTGTGACGAAGATTTCCTTTGAAAATAAACTTTTCCGTACTACGTTTGTCTCCAGTTTCTTGAAACTTGATCAGTTTTAATCAAATATTGCTAGAAAGATAGCTGTATGCGCCTTAACTGATTTCTTTAGGACCACTGCCTCCGTCGAATGGCAGATACACTCACCACGGTCGACAATATTTTTTTCCACTTTTTTGGGGTGGTCTATTTATCAGTATCTTGATCATAAGGCCTATTAATAGATTTATCTTTGTGGCAGGGTCTAATATCTTGTTTGTCATCTTGGACAGATGGAGTGTCATATACACGTGGAGTAACTCTTTTCCCCTAATATCTGTCAGGGTCGCTCTCTTCAGCTCGTTATGGCTGAGCTCGCTATGGCTAATACAGAGATCCCAAAAGCGTAATGCCTCTTCCTGCCTGAACGCATACACTGCAAAACCTTTCCTCGTTGTCTACTTTTTCCAATTTTTATGCATATATATATCCTACGGCCTTACGCATATATGTAGCTGATTGGCAGAGTTTCTTTGTTATAGTCACAAGATCAGTCCCTTCAAGAGAATGTATTCGTCAAAGTGTTTTTTTTTTAAGTCGTTCATTTAATTGGTTGTTTTTCTTTTTAATTTTGCAATTATAACAGTAATGATACCGCAAAAGCTTGTTAGACAGTTTGCACCCGATCCAAAATTGCAGACGATCCAAAATTGAAGTTCGATTTCAGGCCTATAAGGACAATATTCAAAGATGAAATTGTAATTATTTTCTATTTACTAAACCTGGACTTGAAACAATGGGGTACGAAATTAGGTAGAACTGTTGTGCAGTTTAATGTCATTTAAAAAAAAACATGAGGAGCATCTGATTACTCCAGAACCACTATGCTCTCTTTAATAGTTTCACACGTTAATCAAAGAAAACTGAACTCGAAAATAATTGCTAGTTCCTGATTAAAATCGAACCGAAATACGTCTCGCGTCTAAAATTAAAAGCTGTTCTAAAAACAAAGCCATACGTTTCTTACAAAATCATATATAATATGGCTAGATTTGCTCCTGTTTCGTGCATTTTTGTTTTTAAGTTATGTTGTTGCTTGATAATAATTATGAGGAAAACCGTTAATGCATCGCTATAAGAATCGCTATAGAATAAATGTTTTTGATTCGGAACCGACAAAAAACCTGTTTACTATTAGCTACTTACCAAATTCTGTGTGCACAAAAATCCCATCAACTTCTCTTTTTATTTACTAAAATCGAGATCGATAGACGGGAGCGACCGTCTTCCCTTGAGCGCGATGTGGTATACCGAACCGTCTATTGCCCGGCATACATCGAACATAAGCACAACACGAATGTAAATTCACGTGAATCTTTTCTAGAGAAGAACCCTTTTAACCAAATAGAGAAGAACTACTGACAACACACTTTGAAGATATGACCGCGTAACATGTTCACTCGAGATATTCTGGATCGAGATGTCACATTGAAGAGCATCGTAATGACCACTTTCAACTGGTCTGACTCTACGATACGGCAGACAAACCTATCATTTTTCTAAATGATTTGCCAAGATTTTTTAACCACTGCTTTTTCTTATTCCGTGTTTTTAATTCATGCTTCATTTGCTGATTTGCAGTCATTTGATATGTAGATTGAGGTCTGATAATAGAGCGAATAAAACTAGAGCACTAGAGCAACACCTGCGTACGGGTGTTTCACTTATTTTTCATTTCTATCTACCTGCGTAAGTCGCTGTTTCGTTCGAAGTATTGTGAGGGGCAAAATCGGACAGTACGCAGGGATTATAATTTGTGTATGTGCATACACAAAGCTGGCTACTGTACTGAAATTTGTATAATAATAATAATAATAAAGAGCTCCAGGTTAGCTTCGCGGAAGTACGTTATTGATCAGCTGCGAACGCCTGCAGCGATAACCTAATCCTCTGACGATTCACTGATCTTATTTTTCCTCCGTTGTTATTCTACGAAGTCAACTTGATAACTATTACATGACGAAGTAGAGGAAAAACTCTTTTTCACTGCAATCTGCAACTGCTGAAATTTATGTTCTAACACTAGGGGCAACAAAACAAGCTGTCGTTTGGCGCGTTGCGGCCAACAAATCTCGGCGCGAACATCACATCGTTAAATCAGACGTTTGGGTTTTCTGGCCAAGCATTCGTAGGCGACTATGTCCGATGCCCGGCCAAGTATCTTCGATGCCACACAAGTGAGTAAACGATGTATCAGTACTTGCTGCTGGTGCCGACGCAGTTAGTCGGATGTTCCACAGTAGTTTAGCCAGTTCCCGACGAAACAGGGCGTCGCACCCGCACGCGCTTATTGCCACTTCCAAATAGAAATACGTCGGCAAGCGCCCAAAACAACCAAGCCTCTCCGAAAGCAGCAGCGTCAATGCTAGCTGACTGGTGCGAGCTGCAATACCAACATACTATGTATATGGTTGCAATGATGCCAGTAATAATGCTAGTATAAGTGGCTAGTCAGCTCCGTGACTGGCTGACCACTGGTTCTTGTGCGAATGGCAACTAATAAATGTCGGCGCTGCATCACAACTGCAGTGAGTATTTTGGCAATGGCTCCGGGTAAGCAGCAAGCGCGCTTCAACAAATGCACAGAAGCACGTCGAAAGGAGGCATACTCGATGCCGGGCGACCGTCCCGTGACTGAACTTCGACGCTTCAGCTGTGCGTCCAACTGGTGGCAAGAGAACCTGGGACAGGGAGAAGAGAGGAGAAAACACCCGATTCCATACGGAAAGGAACACATGAGAGGAACGAAATGGAAATCTAGTGACGAGTAAAAATAAGAGACAGATAAGCTGTTGTTAATTAATTATCCCATTTAACCATTAGAAGTACAAAGTGCTCTTCTGCAATTTTTAATATTTATCGGCAATAATAATCCTTTATAAATGAATATCAACAGATAACAAACGCGTGAAACGGCATGTGATAGATTTCAGAGAAAGGATATAAACATCTGTATATGGTACCTGTGGACTTTTAAAATAGTACAGATAGTTTATAACGACCTATTTGAAAATATAGCAAGCCTTCACAACTTTATAGCATAGCAAGAAATAGGCCATAATGTTGTTGTTTTCTGACGAGAAGCCAATTTTGTGACTCTAGCGCGTCTATTTTTGAATCAGGTCGTTAAATTAATCAAATCATAGTATATTGGGAATCTGCAACTGGCCAGGAATAGCGTCGCATTTACAAATGCCGACATTTTTTTCCGCTATAATGCCATAAAGGAAAATACAGAGTTTTTTTTTAAGAAGTAATGGCAATTTTTTGTATACTGCTTCGCTTTAGATGTGGCTATACAACTGAGAGTATTATTCGTAAAAAGGCTCGCTACGTCCAAACACGATATTCTTGATCTAATGAGCGTACGTAAGTATGATCATTTCAAAGACACAAACCAAAGACTATTAACACACAAACTGTTAACTGCACGCATTTAAGTTAGTTTTACATTAATCCTAGGAGTTTGTGAAGGACATTTTCCATGCAACACAAACGGCGTAGAAGTTAGAAACGCGGATTTATGTTATTGAAAAATTCACGTAGAATATAATTTAAGTTGCGCTGCAATAATGGAGAAAAACGGGCAAAAATGAATATAATTTTAACCGATAATCTATGTTTTACCTATTATAAATATATAAAGGAAACACATATCTGCTATATGCGACTTACTACACTATGTGAATACTATACACTACATATTTTCCTTCATATAAATCATATAATATAAAAAAAATATATACAAAAATATATAACTAAAAATATATCATATAGGTGTGGAACATAGAAATCAAATTTATAGAATAAAAGCGCTAACAAATAGGCCTAAACGGCTACACAGTAACTTAATTCAAGTGACAGAGATGTCGAGAATGGAACTGAACTTGTAATCAGTGTTTTTCTTACATAAAATCCACACAGCTTTGACATCAGTTTTTTTTTGTTTTCTAACCCTAAGGTCATTTCAACGGGGGCTTATAATTCTGTAACGGCGAAAGATAGAAATAAAAACGAAAAAGTTTAAAATTGCGGACTATGTTTATTACTGAGTATTATGGTTTCGCATAGTACGTTGGTAACTTGTATACCGTATAAACAGGTTTTATTCGCGAAGTAACTTAGCCTATAGTCAAGTCTTTTGCATGAAAGACATGACAGTTGAAGATCAAGAAAATTTTTTGACCTAATTATTGATGACCGGAAGGACACCGTTTAAGTGAGAAAGTAGAGAAATGTTATGTTATGTAAATAAATGTCTTGATAAATGTTTCGAATTTTACGTTTAACACTGCAGTTACACATGGCTAAGGACGGCTGGCTCCAAGTACGAAACGAAATGTATCTATGACCAAATTCGGACGTAGATCACCATGTGTTTTTAAGACTAACAGGCAACATGTTACCCACTAAGTTATTACGGACATCTTAATGTCCAGCCTAGATCACCTCACGTGTTCTTAAGTTTTGTAGGCAGATACGTTACCGCTGCACCATCGGTGCTGAATAGCCGCACCTCCATAGCTGTACAGGGCTTCTTGCATATGCTCCCCTTTGCGCCTCGCTTGTCTCTCGATTTTGCAGCTAATTTTTGTATTACCACATCTGTGCGGTACAAATTTTGCAGATCCTCCTCGATTAGAACTCATTCCGTTGACGCGAGACCTTTTCAGCCAGCCCTTCTCCATCCCTACTGCAGTGTTGTCCACCAGGCAGCTATGAAACCTAACGCCACTACTGACGGTATTAACGGTTACGTCAGAACCCGCCACTGTTAACTAATCGTCAACCTCTGACAGTTTACCTTTGAAAATGGCGTTGACCACCTGTTAAGCTACATGTAACAGCGGCACTACTATAATACCATATATCGTTCAAAAAGCTCTGAATTGTCCTTAAAACTAAAGTCCATTTCAATAGATAAAAACGTCAAATCTATGTGATTCATGAATAATAAAACGTTTGTAAACATAAAAATGGAACTCGGACGAATTATGAAACAGTGAGGATAAGCGTGTTCCGTGAATATGAACAGAACTCAGCTATGCCTGTGGTATACTGCTCAAAATCTAATTGTGCGCTCACACAATATACGTATATTACAAAAGTATAGATTAAAAAAATTAAGTTGTTCACCAGTAAACATTGTTTTATACACATACACTATTCACTTAAGAAGTCCTCAATTATAATAATCATAAGAAGTCCATAAGCGAAAAACAAAACATTTACCTACACACGAAAGATTAAGGTTTTCTATTTATCTAACTACCAACAGCCTTTCGTGAGACTGTACCTGTCCTAAAGAGAATAAGTTCAAGCACTAAATCGGACACAGTCAGCGTCATATTTCATATTTAATTTCTTCTAAGGTGACGTATATAAAAAAAAAATACAAAGTAGAAATAGCCCTACACCGGAACCTTTGGGCACATATAAAAATAATAATTGATTTTGGCTAAACTTTCTGTCTAACAAGTCCTCGGGACAATTTCTCCGGTAAAGCATCAAGGACTTGCTTCCGCTAGAGAACCTAGCTGGGGTCCGCCTTTCTTTACTTGTTTGGAGGTTTTTCCAGCAGACCTCTGAAACAGTATGGTAATCATATGTTATAGCGACAGAGCCAATTTATTAAAAGCATTATCGATTCCAACTGTAAACATTTAGTCCTGCCCAGGTACCCAGTTTGGTTGTTTTTAGCCAAAGTAATTAACATAGTAATGCTCTCATCCATAATGTCGAAATTCCGCTCTGGGCCAGCCCGCAAGCTCATACACCGCCTATTATTAAAAACATTGTTAAAATGTTTAATTATTGTAATGGATGTTTTCGAGTCAATGCAGAGGAGTTAATGAAGAAAGTGCAACTGTACGTCATTATGGCCTTATGAGAGTCTGTTGCCCCAAAAGAGGAGAAAATCTGTTTGACGTAAGATCAAATGCAATGTTAAATGTGATTTTATTAGTAGAATAGGTTTTAAATATTATACGCTAGACAATACGTTCTTTCTGTTATACTGGCTCGAATAGCGTAATGCCTTGTTTAGGGTATACAAATATGGAATGACATAACTAATGGTCTTAAATATCTTTCGAACTATTGTAGTGCCAGATCTTTTGATTCCAATAATGCAGTACGCTTCTATTTAGTAATGCGTTAATGGCTCTATTTTTTTAAGAGTGACTGTATATACAACCAAATGCGGAGTAACAGAAATCCTCAGCCAATCCGTCTCATTAAACTGAAATTGATTTGACCTTGGTTTCATGCTATGCATGTTCATCCCATTTTTTAGTAACTAAGAGGAACCTTAAAATATCACAAGGCTACTTTCTTGAAAATTATACATACTTCACAATACAATTATTCGAGTGTTAGATTACTTAGTGCAATACAATGTTCTTCACTGATCACCCATCATTGTATAGTACACAGAAAATAGTCACTTGAAAAATCATTTAATTTATTCAATTCATCATTTATCAATTAAAATTCATCGATCTCTAGTTCAATTCCTTATTATGGTTTAATAATAATAATAATAATAATAATAAAAACAACCTAAGGAGAAACGCTAAATGCATTTGTTACGTCTATTGCGTCATAGTAACAAGTGTTTTTTTTTTCAATTACAATGTTATGGACTCAACGAGTAAGCGAAAATGTTCAACTTCAGATGAAGGGCCAACTAGTTTTAACGACGATTACTAGTCGGAAAGCAAACCTACAACCGGAGTGAGCTCGTTGACTTTGTTTTACCGTAGCTACATCAAACTCCAGCTTGTTAGCGTATCTGGTATTTGCGCCTACCCCAGCAGGTTCGTTCGCGTCCTAGCGTGTCGAAATGCCCCAGCGGCTTCGATCGTTATCGAAAAACCTGGAACACCTTTTGCACAAATAGCCACATGTCTATTTAATTTGAAGAATGCTAATTCTAAAACTTCTAGAATATAACGCTTGTGTAAACAACGTAATTTGGTGGTTCTACAGATCTTGAAGTGTGTTAAGTTTATATATAAGTTTTAACCTGATATGAAAGGACTATCCAATTCAATTGAAGCGCACCGCCTGCATTTTCATATGGCTAGTAGATCCTAGTGGTACAGAGATGAAGTCAAATGAGGTGCGATGAGGATAACATAGCTACCTACGAATATTTATAAAATACGTACGAACGTATCCTTAATGCCTGCAACAAGGGCAAATGGTAGGGACCGAACGATAGCTGTGGTAGCCGACGATACTCGCAAATGATTCAATAAAACGGGTCGACCTAAGTCAAGTTGTCTTTTCATAAGCTAAACCCTGCTCTCTTCATACGACCGAAAGTTCCCGGGAGTTGAATTCGTACGATATGAAACATTTCCTTCGGCATAACCTTTCAGTCAAGTATTTCAACAGCATCTGACACTAGGTTTCATGTATCAAATCTAATACTTTAGCTCTTCCGCTATGCAATGTCTATTTTATGTCTGATAGCAAAATTTGAGTTGCAATGGCATATGCGTCGAATCAGCTACACGGCTATGAAAACGGTTGTGATATGTGTATGAAATTTTACACTCCTCCAAACCTAGTTACCATTGCCTGCGAAGTATTTGTAAACCAAATTACGATAACAAAACATTTACGAATATTAGAACAAGCTGAATTTATTTATTTCTAACACATCGTCATAACAATATACGAAATGACACTACAATAAAATATACCAACCGTTTCCGTTCGTCGTTTCGTTTAGAGTTTAATCCGATTCGCTTCGTTTTTATTTTCTTACTAGTTTGATTTCTGCTAATTATATTACATTAAATTCTGTGCTTTCTAACTGCAGAAATGTTATGCTTCTTTTAAGCAACACACCATATGACCATAAGACAGTCGTATGCAAGACGAACATTTACATTCAGCAATAAAATTCGCGCCCAATAAATATTCGTCTAAATTTTTGTTGACACTATACTGAATTCTTACACCAGATAGTCCTATTCGTTATTACGTTTTCATCTACTGCGATCAATGCCGCAATCAAACACGTCAAAAGATCTGTCACAAAGTGCAGTTACGCGCGAACAAATTTACACGCATTACTTAGCATTTAATTGAACGTACTGCATCTACAACGTACAGCACTTCAGGTGATTCCAGCATCTTAAATATTGTTATTGTCTAATCAAGAAAGCCATCCAGAGCTTTAATCACCACCAATCATTAAAACCACTCTCAACAGCCTGCAAATTTCGCAACTTTTGAAAAAATAAAGTTTCGCAAACTACCTATTATTTTCATGGCACAAGCACTTATCTTTTAAATAATATAAGCGCTTGTGTGAAGTAATATTAGTTCACTTTGCACTCTCTCTATACTTTCATTTGTTTTGGAATGCACCCGGACAAAATGTACGCAAGCTTATGACATCACAATCAATCTTTTCATCGTTTGCAATCATGCCTTGCAAAACCTCATAAAAAATTACCGTGAACATAGCGTAAGAATTCTCTTCATATTCGATCAACAAATCCCTTGGCTCATATTTTAGATTTATGTGTTTATCTATTTTATATGGACCTAAACGTTAACAATGGGGTGCTATTTTCTTGAGATTTGAGCGTCGATGAGCTCCTTAATTCTTCTCATCATGGCTGGAATGCTGTCAATGTTAGTGTCAGCACATTTGACAACACAATTTTCAAACTGACCCCGATACCTATCAGCATCTGTTTCACTAGCTGTCGCAGGCATCTGTTCTCGAATTTCATCCTGGCAAGACATGACGCAGCGTTGTAATTTGCTCTGAAGTAGACAATACATTGGTCAGTTAGCCTTCAACATAAACAGTTCGAAAGAAGAAGCATGATGTACCTAGGAGCCGAATTTTTGATTGATTTTCCAGATAGAATATACGGACAAAAACAGACTATTTTCTCAAATACAAACACATTAATATAAATGCGCAGAGCATCTTCCATCGTAGCTCAACTAATGCACTGTATTTGATGCGTAAAAAAAAAAGCAATATCGATTGCCAACGTCTGTGTTGCAAGCAGACAAGATAGATCTGTGCCAAAAATGATGGTGTGATTCTAAACTACATTTTAAGCGCAAAGAGACTCCTTTAATGTAAAGGGATTGTGTTTAACAGTCAAGAAGATGGCATACAGCCCCACACTTCGGACAACTATGTTGCCCTAAACTGAAACTGATGGCACTTACTTCAATAGTTCATTTTGCTGATTGGATAGTCATGCTTTGCAATTATTAAGCAAATAATTACTAAACCGAATACACGAATCAAGGAAACTTAGCGACATTTGTGCTTACATATGTCACTCTTTGCTTAAACGGAAGTCGATGACCGTAACGGGTTGTTTAGCTTACAGGCCATAACACTCTCATTCTAAACATACCGTACGCATTCAAAGCTACGACACATGTGTTTTTAGCTCGGACCTAAAATAGTCGCCGCCAAGGTATAAAAGCGGCGCGAGTTTTTGAACTAAGAAATTCGCATATGGTAAATGCACAAATACTCTTTTGCATTTCAAAACGTATACATAATATTTGAATGGTTATTCATTGAGAGGTAGAATGACCTAAATTACGTGAATTCCTAAGGAAATTAAATTAATTTTTTTCAAACATTTTTTTGTACATAAATACTCAAAGCCTATCTGTCCATTCCTTAAAATTTAGATAAAAATTTAAAGTTCTACGTCTAGAATCGCTGTTAGGCATTGCATGAGACTGGCGGCCCAATTAGAGATAAAGCGCTGGGAAGAGAACTTCATTAAGCATTAGCTTAAATAGGATGAATTCCTCACTCTTTGTGCGTTTTTGAACATTCTGCTTACAGCTTTATTTGTTCACGTTTTCTGAGTAGATTTTATCTATAGTGCAAATATATCTTATTTAAAGTAGTGGAAAGCTGGCCCATTTAACAGTGTTTTTCATCTATAATCCGTAGCTTACCAATAGTGTGGATTTTTCTAACAGGCCGTTATTACCTACAAATATAACTAACTTTTCAATTCCATACCTGTAAATTGTTCAGTTCCGACTGCACAACAGACTGCGCCTGCCCTACGTCAGCTCCGCACCCTTCCACGCAATGGTGAACACCTTCAATGCTCTAGAAAAGATAAATATAATAAAGAATTTAGAAAACATGTACCTAGCAAAAGAACAGACAGTATACACTTTAATTATAAGGAAAACAGAACTTTACCTGAGATCTATAAAATTCAATTATTCACAAAAAGTCAAAATGCACTAGTAAATGTTTAGGCAATTTATATTCCACAGTTTCTTTTCGTAAACCTAAATGGCTACAAGATGAACGATAAAAATAAATTCTATAAACACCGTTAACTTTTAAATCAAAAACTACAAATTAGAGTAAGTTAACTTTTTTTTTTTAAAAAACTTCTTTAAATTTGTCAACTTCATTTATTTTTTTGTAAGTAAAGGCTGGATACTTGTGATGAAATGGACATTATTTACTTTCTGGAAATTACAGCAATTGCCTTACATTACTCATATAGGAAATTTATGTAAGCCTATATAGTAACTATCATGTAACAGCGCTTACTTTTAGACACAATAAGAGGGTTCAATGTTCATCCTAAATTCAATAAATCTAATTATGTTGATGATTTCTTTTAAAAAACTCGAAGACTTAATCTCAAGCTCTTACTTAAATGACATGGTTACTAATAGAGTGAGAATCAATTTAAAAAATCATTTCTGGGGTGTCCAACAATCTAATAGATCCCTAAATGTCGCTTTATAATCCAATATATAAAATTTAATGGAGACAGTATAACCCATAATTATGACTTGTAGAAATTATATATAATTAACATGTTTAGATTAGGATGAATCTTACCTTGCTTGAGTCTTCACAGCATTTTGCCGCGCACAAATGCATATCGCGCTGAAAACAATAGTAAAGCAGTCGTGCGATACAAAACGCTTGTTAATAGACGACGTATTAAGATGATCATAGATACGCCTTTAATAAGGCTACATCGTATATAACTTTTGCACTAACCCGTGCTCACCGGCCTGATAGGCTTTTTTACAATGCACACCCGCCTGACCACTAACAACTTCAAAAAATATTTGTGCTTATACGCACAATATAAAAAGTAATTATCGGGTATTTTTTCAAAAATTATATGTTCTTCATATCAGTTCGCCGCTTTGTTAGGTTTATGCAACGTAGATTCATGACACCTTCTACCTGAAAACATTAAAATTATGTCTTTTCTACGACGTGGGCGATAAGCTTTTGGATGAAATATTGGTAATGATAAGCTTCCGCTAAAAATTACATTCAGACCTTGTGATACCACAAACAATCGTAAAAAAACTACTTGATTCCTATTTTAAGAAGCAAGTAATTCAAGGCAATTCAATGGCGTACCGATAATATCCTCTCATTTGATATCTAATACGCACACGGTCACGCAACCTGCACTTCGGCTATAACTTGTTACAGTGAGCAAAAATCTAAGCCTTAAAAAGTAAGTCTTTACCGATGAAAACATGTATCAATTATTATCGGTGCACTCCTCTACAATAATAATGTCGAACCTACCAGTTTTGCGATTTAAGGCTTGTAAAGCAAAGTGTGTTTCATAGAGCAATTAGACAACATGTAAGATTGATCAATGCAAGCCGCATCAATCTGGTGTTGGTAATAGTTCTTCAGAATTACTAATTCATTGATCTGGTAACTTTTATCGAGCACTTTAGCTTAGTTCCAACCGATCTGCAACTGCACTGTTATAGTTTCAGTAGTAAGGTTCACTGCTCGGCAAAGATAGAGCAATAAAACGAAGTGCGGTCTCCAGATTTTATACCTATCTACAAATTACAGTTGATATTGCGTAGATTATAATACTGACCTGAAATAATTATGATCCAACATGTTTTCGGCTAACTTCGCAACTAATCGATCAATTTTTCCTTTAATATCTAAAGTTATATAGTATATAAGAGTATGTAAAAATTGCTTATTTTTGAAATGGCATTATATTGTTTTTATAACGTACGCCTCAACAAAAACATTTGCAAGCATGTCAAAGCGTTTACAATGACAGACATTTGTGCCATTATTATATAATTTGGTCATGTTTCTTATCCTAATTTTCCACTAAATTGACATACAAAAATCTTTTGGAAAAACATACTTGTAAACAAAAAAGCCCACCGTCTTTTAAACTTACAATGGCGTTCAGCTAAATAAGACTGCTACGCATTTCTCAAATTGTTCATTCGAAAAATCAAGCTTAAAGTAATTCTATTTTTTCATTGAATTATTTAGGCTAAGTCGATTTATTTTTTTTCTCTTAGTCCAAACAGTTCATGTAAGATTCGACTTGAAATATATACACTACTATAGAGTGCAATAATTTGCAAAAGTTGTGCATTACTAGAAGTAGGCACCAGTTTCCTGTAAAAAGGTCGACATTTATCATGATAGTTATAATAAACCATAAACAGCATGTACATTTTTTATTACTGTTCTGAAGGTTGCTTTGCGCAACCCTTAACTTCTCGTATTTGCATGACCTAGGTGAATTGCTTCGAGATGTTATCTTGATGTAGAAACCATCTGGCTGCACATATATAGTCATTTCTCTGCTATAAATTAGGCAACGTGATTTGAACGAGCTTATTTTTGAGCACGTTGCCGGTAACTAGAAAAATGCAAAAAACACCTTAGCCACTGCTGATTAATATCATAGTATTAACAGAAGATGACAAAAACTTAAGGATAGAAGGAGAAACGCGTTAATAGCTACGGGAGCTGCTGATATCATTATCCTGTCGTTTCAGAAGGCCTTTTAAAGAAACCTCAGAAGAATCCAGCAAGATTCTCCGTGGCGGTAGTTAGAGCAATACTGAAAGGTAATTCATTCGGGCAACATGTAAACGCAGAGGAGCCGCTGGGGACCAACTCGTAAACACGAGTTTTGTTCTCAGGGCGGGCGCAATAAGGCTTTTCCAATTTTGTTAGGTTTTTCGTAGATTTTTATGCCAGCTGCCATAAAGCATACTGCTTAAAATCGTGATCAGTTAATTTCAATAGAGCTTTACAACATATGCTGTGCACCTAACTCGTCAACTTAATTATTTTTAAAAACACAGAACGTCTGGTTAATTGTTCTCACATAGAACGTAATGTCATTATAAACGCTCCGTTGTGCTCCGTAACATTTGATTGACTCATAGCTTAATCATTTCTAGATATCTTCGTGGGTGTATGACCTGTACAATGCCTAACGTGCGCTATTTACAGAATAATCGAAGCTTGGATGATTTAAGCCCCGTTCTGAGCATCACTTAGGACGAAATTACTGATTACACCTACAGGGTTTTATTGGTGCAAACAAAATGCGATATTTAATAATATGCTATACGGACGCTGCCATTAAATCATCGTAAACCTGAAATGTATAGTTCATAAACCACATCTTTGCACGATTTTTTTTTGGTTCTGAATGCCCCAGTAGAAATAATTCAATCTACGTTAGCTTTTCTTCCTACTTCGATTTAATGCAAACCGAATTTTTCTTTGTCGGACAGAATATGAAATGAATGTCATATATAAAACTTGAAGCGCGCTAAACTAGTATCGTTAGAATCAGAATTTGAAGCTCTTGCATGTGGTCTTTACAATTCAAATCAGATCCGCAAGAACAAAGATTGCTCACTATATAACAGAAAAAAAAACATTAAAATTACTTGTTTCTACCCTTAACTAAGTTATCTGCTAGCTGAATTAAAGACATTTCGCCCTAAACACCGTGCAATAAAAAATTAATTGGTTAAAAAGCGATTAAAAAATTATTTGGAGGATACAAAGTGACTTCATTTAGCAGAAAAGCACAGATTGTTTTCACGCACAGCAGGTAAACCATGAACGTCTTTCAAAAATAATGCTCATGGTTGTTTAATACAACAGACCTAACGATAAGAACAGTGAACTTTTCTCGTAAGTTCTGAAGTTCCCGAGACTGTAAACTTTTATGATAATTTTTGGTGTACAAAAAAAAAAATAGGCGTACATGTGTTCTCCAAAATGCCTTCCCTAATGATTACTTTCGCAACACTCCATAGCTAACATTCGAGCAATTGTTAGATTGAGGCAGAGAATTTGTCTGTTGGCCGTCAAACCTAATCACATCTGCTCGAAAGTAAAACTCGCAGCAGCAGAATTAATGAATCCAAAGCAACAACGCTGATGCTGAGAAGTACGGTCATCGTTCCCCTCGCACTATTTGAGCCGAGATTGGTTGTTATGCAGTCGATACAATTACTACTTACAACTAGGTCAGACTTATTTGTCAGACAAGAAAGTCAGAAACAAACTATTACAGCCAAATCCATTTCTATAATAAATTTTTTAGTCCGTTTAACACATGATTCTTACCTGCAGCAAAATCTAGTATACAACAATCGATTGCGCAAGCTCGATTCAACGGCAGGTTATGCCTATATAATTAGCTGACTTGCAAAAAAAAAATTGCAACTTTAAATACTGATTTCCTTTTTGCAGAGGTATATACATTTACTACTAACAATTTAACTAAGTGAATATCTTCTCTATAAAAACAGACACGTAGAATCGATTACTGCACACCAAGTTATGCTACATAACACAAAAGCGTAGCTCTAGCTGATATCTGCTCGATAGGGGCAATCTTTTTTTTGTTCTGTAAGGGTACGGTCGTAACGGTCCCCAGTAAGATGGAGATCGCAATTTAGCTGAGTCGTGCCAAGTGTTTTCTTTTTTACAAACATTTAGTGAATTTTTAGAGTGAGACTGCTTAACTTTGCATGTCTGATTGCCCTAACCTCACAATCGATTTAAAACACTTGTGTGAGAGAACTATCAACTCACTGAATGCATTTATTCACCTAGTATTTTATACCAAATGGCATGAAAGTACCAAAAAAAGTTTACCTTTTAATGCTCGTCATAGTGTTACCCTATGCGTAGCTGTATTCTTTAACCATTTAAGCCGTTCTCAGGTAAAACCATTTCTCTTAATTAACTTTGCGAAAAAAATTTGCGTGGCTCACTAAAATACGATTTTTTTCTACTGCTATCGGCCGGGATGTTAGAGGCACGCTAACACTGTATTCATTAATCTCAACTACTGGAAGGCTAGCTAATTTGTGGGAAATCCTAATAATAATAATAGTTTAACCATTTTTACCGACATAAAAAAATTTGACAACTTAAATTCAGTGTTGCAGAGTGGGTAAAGACTAGTAACAGTAAAGAGCTAAACACCCATTCTTATAGCGTTTTCATTTATTTCAGGCTTAGCATTTTGATAATATTGTCAGAGGATCAACACAGTAATAGGTGAGATTGTCCAAAATAGCGTAAATAGTTCCGCTCTGTCAACACATACATAGGCTATACAGACGGGACAGCAACTGCTAGCTTCGCATCTATTGATCATAAATAAACAGTATCATCCTTGAGCACTATATTTCCTTAAATTATATGAAGACATAAGATTTCTCATGGTTTGTATTTAATACATCTAATTATCGAGGCATTCAGAACAACTTCAAAATGATTTGACGAAAAAAAGAACAAAGTGGCACAGACTCGATTGTTTAATACGGAAGTTGAACAACTAACTGCTCCATCGGGAGCTTCAACAGAAGAACGACTGCTTATCGTCCTAAAATAATTGTATACTTTGCCATTTGAAGCATGTGAGGCAGGGTTACTAAAGGTAAGTTTCATGAATGGATTGCATTAAAAGTAGAGAGCGCTAAGTGATGTAAACCGCGAAAAACAAAAAGTACACTAACCTGCATTCGGCGCAGCTTGCTTTTATCTAGCTCAGTGATGACATTCTCCATTGCCTTCCGCACGCGTTCGCCGGCCTTCTCTGCCATTTTAGCAACTTATATTAAAGTGAAGAAGTCAAACTAAAGCCAAACGGAAATGCCTGATCTTCGCGCGTTAGCAGATTTTAATTATATTTGTGGTAGCTTATATAATTTTTGTTGGCAGTACAATAACTTTAATAACTAAAGCCAGGCTTATCTTGCGCGAAGATTCGCCTGCCCGCCTATACTAACCACCACAGGAAACCATAACACAGACAACCCGTCGACCGCTGAAATCGAACTCCGCCAGACGGCGCCACCTGCTTCAAAATATTACGAGAGCTTCGTTAAAGTTTGTTTCTACCGCACGCAGCTGACCGCCACCGATGACCCTATTGTACAAAAGAACATTCAAATGAGGGTCCCATTCTAAGGGACTCTGTAGTCAATGTTGCGCTATGAGGCTGACTATGAAACTATGAGGCACAGGAAATTATCTTTATAGAAAACAAGACAAAATGAACTGATAATAATGCAAATAATAAGACCAAGCAGAAGTTAGCTAAAGTAGTATCTGCAGACATCTCTGAGACAAGTTAGACGGGTAACCGTAAGAAACGCCGGAACGGTAGATATCGCAAGGGGCTGACTTTGGATTGCAAAATAACAGAATAAAGAGCAACTTATAATTCATCCTCTGTTACTTTTATAGCAATATCTTTTCTTTTGCAAAGAACTAATTCATTCAAATTTTAGACAACGTGCGTTTTTATTAGCTAATCATTTAAATAGGATTACTGTCAAATAAAATCATCGCATATGAGTAACAAAAAGAAGTCTGTTTTAGTGAAAGTAGAGAGGTCATTCTCGGTTGAACTAAATAACCAGAATACGCACAGATAGACGTTTAGTTTAATTCGGTCTATGAACAACTGGTATGCTCGCTTTTTTCGTATTTCCTTTTTAGTTGTTTGCACAGGGCTAAAACCAGTTAGCACCAATAATGTCCATTAGCTTGCGGCACAGCGCAATTTTTTAAAAGGATTTATCGGGACATACACGTGCATATGTAGACTTTTACATGAATTTCACTGTAAATTTCATATAAAGAAAGTGTTAAAGTCATATATATAAATACCAAATCAGTAAGAATTGACATAGCACATAATAAGTGTTAGCGGAAAATTTCGCACTGGAGTGATGCAGAAAAGTAGTTAAATAGTAATGAGTAGGCCCATAACTGTTACACTAATTTTTTTTATCACTGAAGAGAGTTATAAAAATGAATACTATGTAGATGAGATATATAGTTTAAAGGTAATACACAAAGAATATGATTTTTAAAAAGGTAAAAATCAGCATGGCAAAACAACTTTGTAAAGAATTAACAGAACCTTACGGTGTTCGTTTTCTCTTATCAATAGCGTATCATCTACGTTAAATCTTGATTCTCTTTTTCTTTGAATGTCATTTGATAGTGGAACATAATGCGAGTTCAGTGTATTTTTCTACGATAAATGTTTCATGAAATTTCGAAACTGGCTCAGAGGAACACTTAGACTAAAAATCCTCAAATAATCATGAATAGGACGGAAAAAGGAATTTTTGCCTCGACTAAACTGTAAGGAAGCAATTCGAACAATGTTCGTGTACAAACCGTATTTTTCCGGCGGAGGTTTGAAATAACCTACATTCACTAAGAAATATAGAACACAAAAACCATGCAATGTCGAAGAAACATTAACGCCAATTCGATCTTAAATTATCTAAGAAGGTATGCAAGAGGCATGTCAAGGAAAACTTTTAGCACTTAAACATACCTTTTTTTTTAAATGTAAACTTACGCTTTACCCAATCAGCTTTTTCTTTTGTCTCTTTTTACGCCATTAAATGCGCTCTACGATATTGGAAATCAATTGACACACTTCCAGAATGAATCGCTTTATTGGACTAGCTCGCATCACATAAAATTCGATTTATCTGCTACGGGTATTTCTCAGTCTTTCCATGAGCAGACAACGACAAATTTAACTTAATTTCATCGTAATTACTATACAGAAAACTCTTATTGTACGGGTTTTCAGTTGATATATTACAATATATAATACAAATGCAGTGCAGCTCAATGCTTCCTATATATGATTTTAAATCCTTTTTATGTAAATCTCGACGATCTTGCTTGTCTACTATTTGCCGAAAGTTATTTTGCGTTACCTGTCAACTAATATAGTCTGCGTACCACGTTGTTGCCCTGTTGCAGTTCGACCATATATTACAAAAGGAGTTTGGTTTTACTAACGTTGTTTGTTTACTGTGACCTCAATATAACCGTCACTCTCTAAACTATAAAATCAGAGATCAGTTAAAAAGAACTGTTGATCATTTGTTTCACTTGTTAAATATAATATTGAATGCGTAGGGCAATGTCGAAACCGGAAAGCAATGCACATAATATTGGCTCATTAATCTAAATACAATGTTAAACAAAGCAAGGCCCGTAATGATTATAATATTTTTACATTAGATCGTGACATAATAGGTGGTATTGCATTTTAGCCGCAGTTAAACGAATTAGACAAATAATTGTACCACTAAGATGCAACACGGAGGGACATAGAGCGAGGCAAACATGGCCTTTTATTATGGTAAGAGGTATCTTAAAGGAAAAATATGTATGTTACCCTTTGAAGCCAATATGAATAAGGAGCCAATATGACCAACCCTAAATGGTGGTAGCATGCCAACCTAATGTTCATTAGTCAATTTCCTGTGATTTCAAACTGTTTTGTAACGCAATCATAAAGTGAAAATTCTGATAACACATTAGAGAAATAATACATGAACTAAACAGTTTCAGTAGGCGCCACTGTAGTCGCAGCAGTGTCTCCTTTGGAATATGCATGACTGGCTGCAGGTTTTGTGGGGCCATCTGCTGTTGGTGTCCCCGCCTGAGAACCAGCAGCCGCTGACTCGAGCAGCTGAGCCAAAGGCGGCACAAGAGACACTTGACGATAGCACTGCAAACTGCAAACAGGTAGACCATTCGAACTGCACTGATACTTTTTGAGATTGGCACAGCCAACATTGGAGCACAGTACCGGAGTGGGATATTGAGCCCTTTTAGAAGTGACATCGATTCCCAATGAAGCTGGAGGGGTTTCAACAGGAAAGCTGACTGTCATTCCCTCGTAGGTATATCGATAGCACACCTTCAAAAAAAGTACACAAATAGCTTTGTAATTTGATGCGTCTATTATCTGGACCGCTCTGCGTTTACTGCACTATTTATATTTTGAATTAATTTATTTGGCAAGGATCGTGCGTGAGAGTGAGAAGAAATGAGCAGTATCTGACAGCATTTGGCTTTTGTTCTTTTGAATTAAAGATTTTTTTTGGATCTAGTGAAGCAATGAAGGCAAATTGCGGCTTGACTCAAATCGCCAAATTTGCCAAAAAAAGCCCTGGGGTGACGAAAAATAGCGCAAGGTGATCTTGTTGAAGAACGGATGTCTCTTTATACAGTTCTGGCGACTAACCAAATCAAAAAGGTCATTAATGGAAGTTTTTTCAATTGAAGCAATAGCAAAGATATTGTTTTTGTAGGCCACGCATGTTCAAAAGTTTCCAGCATTCAGAGTAAGCCAATAAACGAAATAACTTTTTTTTTGGATACGTTATTTTTAACATCCATTGTAATTAAAAAGAAAAAATGAACTGAAGAAATGTCGACATATAAAATACCATTAGCCCAGTTATCCTGGAACAGCTCGATATATAAAGTACTTGTTGCCATGGCTCAAGATGAATGAGGTTAGAAACACGATTTGAGCAGTGGTGACTCATATGGTTTAGACGAATCGAAAATATCGGTACTACAAGTCAACTATGATCTTACGTTCTTGTAAACCTGAAATTAGATGATAGTGAATGTTAACATATCTATAGATATGTACCTTGGCAACCATCTGCGCTTTACTCCGCTGCAGCTTTTTCGTTTTTTGCCGCGAATCGGCCTTTTTGAGCAGTCTTTTAATTGTATCCTTTTTTTCTTTATCACGTTTTTCCTCTGCCAGTTGCCTCCTTTTAGCAGCTTTCTGAGCTCTCTTCTCCAAAACTTCCGAGCTAAGTTGTTCTGCTGCTGCCTGGTCTTTCCAGGCTTCGTGTAATGCCTATAATGCAATCAATTGGAAATCACTGTGATAAAATGTGTGTTCGAACACAATGCGACGGTGCTAACTAATCTTAACAAAGAGCTTTACAGCACGATGTGAGCCTGTTTTGTAGTAAAGAAAGACAAAACTGGTGTAAAAGGTTTGATTCATTTGTTCTACGTAGACTATTATATAGTCCTCAATCCTGACTACTGTAACTCAATACTTGCCTGAATGTGCTGGAGGTATTCTACTCGAGCCTGCTTGGCTTCAACCACAGCACGCTGTCGTGCAGTCATCAACGCCGGGTCTTTCATTGATCGAAGTTCCGCATCCTGAATTAACACAAATTAAATATCCTCGATTAGAATTCATGACAAAACCCGTTTATTCATTTTCTGCAAAGCTTATTTGGTGTGTGTTAGTTAGTTGTTACCAACCGGTATGGGTGCAGTTTGCCCTAGTTTGTTGGGTAGTATCATATAGTTATATATCTCTCCGCAAAACACATTGGCGCATTAGTCATTGCTAACAAATACAAGGTTAATCGAAGTTTGAACCAGGCTTCCGCATGCTTTTTTGCAACTCTTACCTGTCGCCTTCAGATCATTAGCAATCGTAATAAATTCCATTTAATTATAATATAAGGCTAATAAGAGCCTGTGTTGGTCGATTGGAGCAGGCCTACCTATGTCTAAACATTACATTTAAAGCAGATATGCATACTCGTACCTCCTCTAGTTTTCCGGCTTCAATTGCCATAAGCCACTTTTCCTCGGCCTCGTCTTCACTTGCATTGTTTTCCTGTAGTTTTTTTCCACCAGTACCCGATTTTTTCTTTTTCGACTCCTTTCCACCACCACCTTCACATGAACAGGGGCATCATGAGGTCAGACACATACATATGTAATCTAGTTACTAATGCCACGCTTCAGAATGTGGTAATTAGTTTATGTTGATTTTCGCATACCCATGATATAAAAATTCCTAATAAAAAGGTTACGTTTCTTCAGTCACGAGAATAACTAAGGGTACCCAAAATTAACAAACGAATCTTTCCGAAAGTACATATTTGCAATGCTAATTTTGCTACTCTGAAGCAACAGTAGACGCCGGCTATTCGCAAAAAATAACCACGTAATTATGATTATTTAGATTGGTAGACCTTTTCATTACGTTTCAGTTAAGTAGATATAGTAATTATCGTGAGGTAAGGATTCCATCGATTCCATACGATCGAAAACGTTCTTCCGTATTCTAATAACAAATAATAATTTCGATCAAGCAGACTGCATTCACAAGTTGCCTGTTTTGTTTTTCAGTACCTTACGTTTCAAATATATGGACCCACTTTAAGGACATTGTAAAAAGCCGGAGTGTGAACATACATAGCATTCGTATATAAGCGTATATATATATTCGTATATAATTGCGTTACTAAGAACAAAGGCATAATAATGACTTAGCGAAGTATTAAATGCTTCACCTGCGCGGTTCACAGGAGCGGCAGGAAGTCCGGAAGATCCCGAGGTGACACCCAGTGACATCATCGAAATCGTTGACTCTGAAGTATCATCTACTAGAAGAAGCTGTTGCGACGAACTGCAGCCGCCGCCACCTAAAAAATAATGATAGCATAATTGAGAGATAAAGTCATTTAATGTAAGTATATATAAGTACAAATTAAGGCAAGTGATATGTATGCATACTATTATTGAAATGTGTCGGTTGCTTATTCCTGGCCTTCTTTATATATCCTTGCCACTTAACAAAGGACATTTTGTAAATGAGACACATAACAAACCGAATCAGACGCTTTAGTAAGATGTCTAAACTGGTAATGACATATCCAGTATCCCAGAAATTTTTCTAATTAAGTCGAGTCTTGTAATCAATTATACCTTTTGAGAAACGTTTGATTTGATTTAGATATAATTTTTCTGACTGTCGACAAATGTTTTGATTTAAATTATACTAAAAATAGCTTAATATCTATTTTCGGTTTTAATGGAAATCGAAAATCTCCTGCTTATAAATTTAAGAAATAAGACTTCACCTCCATCGGTAGTGAATTGGGTGACGTCCAGCTCACTTTCCTCGTACATTCCCCCGCTACCGCTGCTACAGCTAGGCGCACAACGGTCCACGGGCTGAGTTGACCCTACAGATTTTGCGGAAACCGCGCCCCGACCAGTGGTGCCCATTGCACCACGAATAAGGGCAACTTGCTGGGCCGTTTGATTGGGAGCTTCTTTTTCAGAAGGAAGATCTAAAGTGGCAGGAAGTATTGGTACGTGCTGTGGTGAAGTCCCAACGTTCGGCGGAACTAAATTCGCGCTGGAATTTTTACTATTTTTACGTGGGCTATTGCCGGCAGATTTAACCGAACTTGATCCAGACTTGCGTTTTCGGTTTCGAGCGCTGTTTGATTGACTTGAACTGCATGTACCGCCTAAAATTATTGTCAAATTGTGAAGCAATTTATGTGGATCAATAGAACATGGTTTGCCTAGACAAGTCTTACTCAATCCGATTATAAATCCTGAGTTTACACTTCAATAAATCTTTACGATTTTCGTCATCCGTATTCCTAAGATCGATTTTTACAATTACTACACACCATCATGACCTTTTCACCGCTTCTCGACTTGAGATATAAATTTGGTCATTTGATAACAGCTGACTATTTTAGAAAACTAAAGTTTGTTTAGGCTAACATACCTTTTTATTTTTAAATTAAAACAAATGTCGTACAAATCTACAAAAATAGATGTCATTTCCTGTCAGCGTCAGTTATTCGTATAAAGAATAAAACCTGAGTTAACACCACCCTACGACACGATTATGCTCCTCTTTTACGAGTTCACTTTAACCAATAAGGTGCAGCTGTATGCGATTGCCCACATATTAGATAAAAACATAAATAATGGCCGTTTGTTTTTAATGTTTGTTTTTACCTCTCTACCCTTTGTTTATTTCTATACACCACTCAAAACAGCCCTTTCCTTCCTGAATTTGTTGTAATTTTATTGCGCAATGAACGGAACTTTACGTTAAGCTCAGGTTTTAAGGATGAAGTTCCCAGGTAAAACAAAGTAAATTTTTATCAGCTACCCCATTTTGCCTTTTGCGGAAATTGAAAAGCTTCTGAAACAAGGTAGGATATTTGCGTGCCTCATACAGTACCTGAGAGGGCTATTCGAAAGTGTTTTATTTAAAATTTATTAATGTCACTTCGGAACAGGAAAATATACTCCGCCCTGATCCCAATTTAAGGTCAATGGAAGCGGCCCGATGACTTTTTTAAAGAAGACTGCATACAGACAATTCGCGAACTGCGCAAGAAAATGTACTGCAGTTACAGAACTATTAACAAGCACTTTGGATCTTTGAGATTTACTTAAAATTTAGGAGCCCTATAGATCGGTTGCGGAGCATGAGTCAACATGGCTTCTTATTGTCTATCAACATTTTGCCCGGCACCGAGCAATACGCAGCCATAATAACAGATTTGTGCATAAATTTGTTGCCGATAACGAAAAGAAATATCTGCCCTTCGATATAAAGTAAATAAAAGAATATGCAGTTTCGGGAAATGCGCCCAAGCCTAAGATCAAGTCAGATCTTCATCCAAAAAAATCATGGTTTGTTTGATGCGACGCCGAAATAATTGACAAAAGCATGACAGTTACAAGGATTTGTACTTGATCCAGTAGTATTGGTTGAACGAGGCTATCAAACAAAAAACGTGCGATAAACGGAGCAGTTCTTCTTCTTAGCAAACATGCCGGACCGTATATGACGACAACTGTGGAGGCCACCCTGTTGAGAGAGTTGAGTGGAAGACCCTCTGCACCCACCATATTCTCCAGAGCTCACGCCATGGATTACCATTTTCTCTAGTGAATCACTAGCAAATTCGTAACCGTACATTTGATAATGAAAGGGATCTTATAAACCTGGCTGTACGAGCTTTTCAACACCAGACAACAAAATATCTGGCGATAAGAAACAAAAGAATTGGTTGAGAAATAGGAAAGAGTTTTGAGAAGTGCTAGCAAATACATAATAAATGAAGTCGTTACTAATATAACTCTGTGTGTCTTGCTAGATGAAACATCTGCCATTACTTACGGTACGTTTCGATAATATGATTTTAAATACATGGGCTCGTTCATTATAATTATTATCTTATTCGATACAGAATAACTTAATTTGTCCCACCTGAAATGTTAAGATTGAATCGTGTCTCATAATAATACCTTTAGCCTTCTGCTTCGATGGTGCAGCAGGGGTCGAATATATTGGTTGTCCTGTGGTCGTCGCAGATGTAGAATTATTCTTAATGCCAGAAGCGACAGCAACAACAGCAATAGTGCTGTCTGTTTCACTGATTGCGGCTGTTGATGCAGTCGGCAGCTGCTGCTGGTTATGACCTGTTGTCGTTATTACTGTCCCACCTGCAGCTGCTGTCACTGGTGGTGCTGATTTTGCCGCTTCAAGAGTTTTTCTTCGTTTAAGACTGACTTCCTCTTCAAGAGCAATCATCTTTGCCGATAACTTCGGTGTGCGAGAGGAGACACGTTTTACGGGCGACGTCGGAGCTGACATTGTGCACACTAAGATTGCTAAAAAAAATAATCAAATTGATGTAGACGTGCGCATTGAGATAGAAATCATCAGTATTTTTTTTATTCATTTCATATTCACTTTTCCTACATGACAACAGGAACAGTTTTTTTGATGGAACCAAACTTCCGCATAGGCATTTCGTCTCAGACAAATAATGAAACTAACGTTCACCAGACGTAGTTGGTACATTGAATAACTGAACAACGAAAGGGCGTATTTGACTTGCTTTTAAGGTTGCCAATAAACAGAACACGATTTTTACTTCACTGGTTAGTCATAATAATGACTTGTGAGTAATAATTTGAAAAAAATCTCAAAATCAATCGATTAACCTTTATTCTTCTAAAAATACAAAATTACATAATATATTTTTAACAACTTAGAGTATCTCATATAGAGAATATTCAAGATCTAGCATTCAGTTCAAATAAAAAGTCTAATCCATCTAAGCAACTAACCACTTAGCATCTCAAACAAACCTGCTTGCTTTGTAAATTCACAAATAAAATACCTATTTATTAAATAGCCTATTAACAGACCACTGTAGTCTAGTCTAATTTATTACAATTAAAGACAGATTATTGTTTAAGCGCTGAAAAGTCACGGAATGGGAGTGATGCAGGGAAGATATCAAAACAATGTAAAGTGCATTTATTACCTTTTTCGTATAAAACTCTTTGTTGTTATATCACTCAATATTTATACGCTGATAATATTTGGCGATATACTGCTTGCTGTATGGCCAAAAGCCTCATACCGATGGCTTATCTCGAAACCTCAGTGCATTCTCAAAATGCAGAAGCATGAAGTCGCCTCGTGGGTTGGAAAGGCGACTAAACCCCTTTCATAGCAAACCCAGAACAGTGCTTCAACTCAAAAATCGTTGCTGTCCGATCTTGTCAATAAATAAACCTTTTCAAGTAGCAGTATCCATTAACATCGGTCTGAAAATAATAAAAATCACGAACCATGAACACTTCACGAACTGCCAGAGTTCGACACACACTTAAATCCACTGCCAAGTAACTAGCGTTTGCACTTTGCCAACTGACCCCTATTCAGATAATTAAGTAGACTATAGAGCTCTTATTAGTAAATGAATTGCACTTTTAGGCTTATAAGATAGTCTTCTAATGTTCCACCTTATACTGAGCTGCACTAAGAGTGTGCTTTCTTGTTGGCCGGTAAGCCAATGTTTTTGTTAATTGTTTACAAACACAGCGCGCCGTTACAGTCTGCTACGAACTGGGTGCCAAGTTTAACATTCGCTTTTGATAGAAAGACGACTTAGAAAGCAGACTGGTTAAGAGCAAAAGCTAAATAGATTCTAACTTTGCGTGGTCTCTGCACTGTAAATGCTAGCAAAAATAGTCGTTTAAACAAAATCAGAAAACCTTCTTAGGTTTATCACCTTATCCACTAATAGTATAGCTACTTGATTTTATAGATTTGCCAACCACCCTGTATTGCATGCTTCATTGTCCAGTGCAAAAGTCACAAGTCGATTTTAATCATTGTAGCCAAAGGCATAATACAGATAAAATAGATAAAAAGTCTACTTATCTTTGCCGATTGCGACGGATCCATAATATGGCACGTGTGAACTAAAAGTCATCTGCACTGTAATAGAATTTTTTATCCTTTGAACATAAGATATCAGAGGGCCAAATGTAGGAAATTTTAATTTAAAAATATGATTGGATGGGTGTAAAATCTCCTTGGAACTCTTACAACCCCGTTACGATTGATCAGTTATCTCAACTAGAATTAATGCAAGGCTTTGTGACAATATTGGAAGGTATCGGTAATCCTGAAGATTGTCTCAAGAGAACTTGCCAGTGGCTTCAGAACATGAAATAAGATGCTAGTTCGATTGTTACGCCCCGTCTGTTCCTTCTTATGTTCGTAGCATGAATTTGTCATTAAACAAACATAGCGATTTACATCAAACAAGTTGCAGGGCAACTTAAAGCTGTTTTTATCTATGTATTATGAATTGAAATGCTTCGTCATATTTCAGCATTAGTACGGGTATAAACACGCTTTCTGTCGCAATTATTTTTTTCCCAGACCAGATAAGTGTATCTATGCTTTTATTTCTTCGCAGATGTATTTGTAGGTATCGTAACTTTATTTTTAGGCTCTCCAGATTTGATTCAGATTAGTAAAAAATGTTATTTCAGTTTATGCTACGTGTTGTTACAACGGTCGCAGTAATGCGTGCCTCAACCCGATGGCCATTTGCCATATACCGTTGGATTGCCACAACTTAGGTCCCTCCTTTTTTTTTACTCCTAATGATATATTGCATATGTGTTCACTTATAATTTCTTCGTTCCGTTGGTAATGACTTTGACATACCTTATTTGGTCAAACATTCTGTTAATGGCCTCCTGTTTTATATAGCACTACAGTAGTAGTTACAAACGGCGTCGATAGTATGGTGGACGGTACTACGTATAGATTTAGCCATTTTGGAATCACTTGTTTGCGACGTGGCAAGAGATACGACTGTTTATCTAGCTTTTCTTTTTTACTTTATCTACCTTAGCTTGCGAAAACATAATATAAATCCGTTTTTATATAAAGCGCATTGTGTTATACATAAGAAAAGTAGAAACAGATATCTTTCGAAATTAACCGCTTGACCATAATCTTCATAATGAAAACTGACAAAGTTAGTTTAATCATTTTTGAAATAATATAAACCGTTAAAAAAGTACAACTCTTTCAAGCTTTAAAATGTATTTCTGATTTTCTATTCTTTCAAAGTATTTGGAGTACTTTCTAGAATTTGTTAGAGGCCCGTCATTTATCACGCCAAAAATGGTCGGAAGGGAACTTTTAAATTTTATTACCACTTTCAACCTAAAAACCATGCAACGTTGATCATTGCATTATGCATTGCTATCCTTTTGGTTAATTATGAGTAGAGTTGCCGATTTCAGTTATCATACCGGAACTTCGGTGAGAGCATTTCGAAACAATTATACAACAAACATAACATATTACAAACATAACAAGAAACGTTATATGGAGGTAGAAAAAGGTCAGCTTTTTTAGACAGAAAATATTTTTAATAAATATTTTTCTACTATGTTTCATTTTCGTTTAATACGCCGAGTAATCATGCTATAACGGTTTCTGCTGAACTTGCGGTAATAATGAAACTGCGGAGCAAATTTCGAAATCAAGAAAGCTGTCGAGCGCATTCAAGATTTTCGAACGTCCTAATACTGTCTTAGTGTTGTTTCGTTTTTACATAACATTTATAAAAACGTTTACATTATGCTCAGTCGGCATGCAGTTTAGACTTTAAACATTTATTACATTATATATTGATCTCTTATATGATTTTTTTATTCCCTCTACCTACATCTAGTTTGTTTTTCATGATTTATCATCGTGTAGCAAGCCAGGCGGGCACCACAATATAGGATGGACTTCGAGTTTCATTACAAAACTTCTATTTATAGCACTACAAACAAGAGACACAAACAACATTAATATCGCTTTAAAACAATACGAAGTAGCTCATCAAATAACCCGTATTGGGTATCTGAATTTTCATAATAGGCAGTAAAGGTAGGTTTAGAGATAGGAATCAGAAAATTGCTCCATTGGCACTGCTTTATTTCGGTAAAAACCTTCCAGCCTACTCTTTACATGACAACTTCCCTAGCCACGTAAGGACTTAAGGCATTGCATTTTTAAGTAAACAGGCTGTGACTTGTTACGCGAAATCCTTAGAGAAATCACAACCTATAGAACAAACATGTTGCTGGCACCTTTCAGACTAAGTAAAAAATTCCTAACCTCTATGTAATTAGATCGAGGCTTGTCACTTTAGTAGTCACTAATGCATCATTAGTGCAACGATAATCAAGAGCAACTGCATAAAGTAGAGAAGAACACTGATTAATAAAAATGTAATTACTCGTTATAATATATAATGCATATACTGAAAGGATTTGCGTAATTGAGACAATATGTTATTAAGATAATATTTAAATAAAGCACGTTACAAAGTCCACCAGTCGCTCTCCAACTTGCAGAGGGGTACGTAATGATCATTTGTAGAAAGAGCATTGGTTCTTTTTTTATTCAACCATGTATTTGAGTTATTGAAATTGTGTTCTGGCTATAGTTAACCAAATTCGTTCGTTTATATTTGATACTGTTGTGGCGGCTATGCCGTTTGAAAATTCATAACGATTTAAACATGATCTTTTGTATAGACTTATTTCCAACTTAGTTACTTGTTTCAGAGTAGATAGAAGCTCTATCAGATTCGAATCTCGAACCTGACTTTGGGGCAAATTGTTTAACATATGCAACCGCAAATAGCCAGATTGCTCACAGGTTACTGTTAAGTCGAAAAAGCATGTTTATATTTTTAATGGCTGATTAATTACTGTTAGAAAATGGATATTACTCTTTATCCTTTTTAGACAAAGAAAATGATTTATTAAAACTTCCTGAAACATCTAGCCGGTTTGCGCATGCACCTCAATTTTTTAATGAGTATAAGTTATTGAATATTTTTGGAGAAGACTATTATTTAGGATTTCACTGTCAATCAATCTTAGGATTTTCAGCATGACAGAAATAGGTATCAGTGTCTAGTCGAACAAGAAATTTGTCTTTTCTCTTTAGCTTTTTGGACTCTTGCAACATAAAACAAAGTAGTCATGTTTCTTTAGGGAGTTTATAAAATACGTTGTATCCTTTAACAGATAATACAACTCAAAAAATGACCATATTGTTGTTTGTAAGCAGATCGTTAACCCCGATTTCACATCTTATTAGTTCTTACACTTATTAGTTCTCTTGCAATTTATCCTTATTTTCCAAGACATTAGCTGCTCGTATACGTATCTGAGATCAAGAGAAACAGGCCATCATCTTGTCGAAGCACCTTCTAATAGTATACTTAGCGTACACCTGCATATTCAACTTAATTGACATTTTTGTGTGGTATCTTTTGGGAAATTTTGCTTTGTGTAAACAATGAAGCACCTACAATTTAGGATGATATACTTTGATGAAATCATGTACTCTGTCATACTTTTTTAGCACACAAACGTAAGTGAACTAAAACGTGCAGAGCACGCTCACACCTGCTTGCCACATGACGTTCCGTCCCTATTCCTGCTACAATACGGATGCAACGCCAAACGTCTTCGCTAGATGCCAGACTAGTCGCGCTCGATCTGTTCACCGGTCAGAGTGCATCATGAAGATCCCAGGGAAGTTGGTCTTGGCCGTCGCTGTACTGGCTTGTTTAGCTTGTACCGCCCAGGTAAGCTATCGTTACTTATCTACCAAAATACCAATATATACAATGTGTGGAAGCATTTCTCCGTTTATACAACATTTGTGAATGGATTAGAACAGATGTCTTGTATAGCTTACAATTATCTTAGTCATAAACGTGTGCGGTGTTTGATTGATTCCATTAGCAATGGTTACTATTAGATTTGTGCTAGTCATCAGGAGATAGTGCTCTTCATTTACTACTAGTTTCGGTTGTCCCTTTATCTCAACAAATGGATGGAACCGTGAAACTTAAACTTCTGATTGATTACTGTCGATAAACTTAGAAGTGTTTGAGCTTAAATGGAATATCATGAAAAGGGTTGAGGCTTAACATTGAAGTTGGGAATTCGTATGTAAAACATACAGGCAAATACCATTTGTGACCTGAAGACCTTTTTCTGAGAAATTATGTTGTGTTATACTGGATGCTAATATATTGTCAATAGGTTGTCGATAAATATCATAATGGTTCGAGTAGTTTAATGGCAGCACAGAAAAGAAATCGAGATCTTAGGCACAGCTATGGCATTGGAGTGCGTGTAAGTGATGTCAAAATAAATGAAGCATATAACTCTAAAAGACGATTGTTTAGTTCTTGAATTTTTTTTTATTTAACTTGGTATATATAAATTAAGGTAACTTTATTATTATGGAAGGTTTGCAGGGTTCAAATGCTGCGTCTAAACATTGTAATTTTTGTCTAATTCCCAGGCCGTGTTTGGAGACGGCTCCTTGAATGTGCAACCCTACGAGAAGAGTCGCTCTTTATCGAAGCGCTCCGTAGTTGAATTCTTAACAATTTTTCCTTGGCTAAGGCGCCAATTTACAAGGTCATTCCCCGATGTAAATTTGACGACCGAAGTCACGATGTCTTCAACTAACCAAATTCAGTCTGCGACCGACCTTAAAACCGACATTGCTAGGTCTGTAGTGCTAAAATGATTGAATCGCTTTTTCCTATTCGTATACTATTCGTATTTTTTGTACCGGCATTCAAGAGTCATGATTTCTTATCTAAGTGAAGTACGAAAGACTTAGCCTAGTAGGGAACACGGCAAAAACTGTGTGTTTTGAATTACCCGTGTGGAGGTCCTTCAAACCGGAAGGATTGAAATGGAACCTTTCTTTTATCATACTTTGTTAGAGTAGATATTACTCAGTGACATTATTAGGCGTAAAATGACAACTTGGAAAAACACTTGACTGCGTATGTAGGATGCTTACGCTGACCCGACAGAAAAGAGCTGCAAATGAAGAACATGGAAAATTCCCGAGTCGACGTTCGGTACAAGAATTGCGTAACATCGAGGGCTTCCTCAAGGCAAAGCATGATACGCTCACGGATGCTCTAAGGAACTTCAACGAAGTTCTATTTAGCCCGCACCGTCTGCACCATCATCAGCAGCAACAACATCCGATACAAGGAGGTATTCCACCGCAAGCTGGACTCAGCAGTATTTTAATGCCATTCAGTTTCCAACCGGCACGAAACACCGTGCTATTCCTGCACCACAATTCCCATAGGAGCGGTAACAACAGTAATATAAGCGGAACCAATGGTGAGAATATCTTCTGTAATAACCGCGGTGGACTGAATTCAATACTTTGTTTCGATACAGTGCCTGTTATTAAAAAAGGTACTATTATGTGGTTGAGCTTAGTTCAGACGAGACTAAAATTATTTAAAAATTAAAGTATCTTGAACTAAACAAATCATGCTTGGATCGAGTGAAACTCGGTTTCGAATAGCCGGACCTAAGATGAAATACAATGTATGGTACACTGTACGTTACTTGATCAGGAATTCTACTTAATACTAGCAGCAGTACCTTTTATTTGGTCTATAAACGAGTACTAAATAAGTAATAAGCGTTAATGTTGCCGATGTTTACGTTGTTTTTTTCATCAAGAATTTCCTTTGCTTTCGACTGGAATACTTGTGCTGAGGAGGTCCAGCGCTATGCAAAGATGAAAAAGATCTCGTTAGTTTTTCATCTTCTATACTTTAAAGAATAGTTACTTCACAGGCTTCTTGAAAATATTTTCATTTTATTAGTTACAATGGTTAGTTGAATCTTGAATCTGGTTACTGCTCTAGCAGGACCTTCTGTGGCCGATGTTAGTACTGCAAAGCCTCAATCTGCCGGACAAGCGGAACCCGCCATTTCAACGCCAGCAGTTGTGACGGTCCAACAACAAAACAGCAATTCCAAGCCTGTGACCACGGAAAGCGGATTGCACGAGAATCAAAAAACCTATGGGATAACACCAACGAGTGTCAGCGTCGAGCCACGCAGCGTCTTTTCGACTGTACTGACTGGAGAAGGAGTGTCCACTTCTACTTTTGTGGGAACACAGACCTCCCAGGAAGAGAGCACCACCGAGAGGAGTATTATGACTGAAGGAAGTGGGACATCTATTTCAACCGTCCCGGAAAACGTGAAAGAGGACACTGTTTACCGATTGCTTACTGATGATGCGTAAGCTTAGAACGTGGTTTATCGAATTTGCTTCGTAATATACTCTGCTGAACACAGAACATATATAGAATCAGCGTATTACACTGATAAAAATGTCGGACGCTACTAGCATTTCCATTATAAGTTTCCGATGATCTAGGTATATTTGTATACTACCTATAAAACCTTGTTATAAAGAAACAATATGACAAAAACGACACAACGTATGCAACTTGACATTTAAAGTTTTGAGTTTGTTTTATTCTTTGTTAACGGCAGTATAAAACACATTACAATGAAAGGAGCTGTAACATATAATACAAGACAATGAGTGTGAAATAAAATCTAGTCTGATTTGTATAAATGAAAACTTGATTTGTATGTCACGGAGCAATGTGTAATGGTTTCAGTGACGTGTCTAATCCAAGACACTTTGCGTGCGGAGCTACCAGAGAATAGAGTACTAACCGTAAAATAAACAAGACAGATTTGATGAGCATTTAGATAACTTTATAGATCTAGTCTAGAAAGCCCTTGTGCAGGTTTGTTCCAGGAAGGTCTATGTTTTATGTCCGGTATCGCCGTTAGGCATTCTAGCAGACGTGTGTCTAGGATTAGTAGGATAGTACGCAAATATGTGTACAGATTATATATAAAACCAAACTTTCGGGAAATATAGCTTCATCAATATCAAACTTAGATGGAAACAAAATGTAGTTAAAAACAGTGCAATTCAGTTCATTACATTTACCGCTATGAAGCAGTTATCTGAGAACGAACTGTAGATCGTACACGATAGTGCAAGGGTAGAAGCAACTAAGAATTTCTTCGAACCCTGCCTTGATCGTAAAGGATGCAGAATAATGTAGTTGTAGGCTGAATTACTTTAGATTAATACTCTGCTGGTTTGCATGGCTGTATCATTCGGGGCGTATTGCATGGTAGTTGTCATGCGATAATGCAAGGATTAGGCATAATAATTACTGTTTTCTTTGTTACTGACCTGACTCGCTCGACCAAATCAGCCAAAGCCGTTTGTCGCCCCGTCATCAATTATTTTTTCAATTTTTCGACTTACTTTCATGTTCCACCATAATCCCATGTTGAGGCTCTTTAAGAGGCTGAAATAGTTTGTGAAAAAAGATAGATTGCTATTTAAATTGCTTTTCATTCTCCGTAGTTTTGTAAAGGATGCCTTTGTTTTGTGTCGTACAAGCCATGATCTGCGTGCGGTCAAGCGTGCGAAAGCGATATCGGATATGGAGTCTATAGACGGCATCACCTGACGGCACAGTAGAGGCTGCTAACAAGCTTAGTTTAAATTCCCACAAATTCCAGAAAATCCCACAAAATAAATGTGACAAGTGTCAAATTAAACATGCGAGTGAAGCACACAGACACCATAGTTTAACGTTGGCCTCCCTAGTTTTACATTTCTCTATGCATTACTATTCATTCAACTTTATTTTTCTTACCGCACGCTTGCTGGCGCAGCTCAATAGCCATTTGGTGTCCTCCTTATAAAAAATGGCGTCTGTCGACCTATTCAGTACAGAATGAGGAAAGCAATACTCGTAGACTGGCACAGATGGCGGCGACAAATTCGACCTCGCATGCTCGTCTATTATCGTCGATGCTCACTACGTACGTGAGCTTTTCAGCTCATCAGAGCCTCCTAGTGGTCACGGCGGTTGTGGTAGTAGTGGCAACGGCAAGCTCTTTTTAGCGCTTTCAAGCTGGCTCATTAGGATAGGCTCTTTTCCTACACACGGGGCTATAGTCCCGGCCCGCCGTAGTTGAGTGAGCTTGGCTGAAACTGGGAGCGAATAGCCCTTTTGTGGGGCTACGGTGATCTGTGTTTTTTTTTGGAACACAGACAAGTTGATTTTACTTGAATTTACCCACGTCTACTACCTATTATCAGACGGTAGAGTCCTTTGGATATCTACATGCCTAAATTGGGCTCAATTATAATTATATAAAACAATGTGATAGGTGTACATCATTAATCATTCTAAACCGTTTTCCGGTTAGGAAGAGAGTTGAAGATTTAACGATGGCTGTAATTGATAGATATTTCAAACTGCAACCGCATCGTTATATGAATCTACTGCGATAATTTTCATAGAGCTATGTGACACTGGTGTACAGTTCTTTTCGTAATCAGTACATGCTGTTTTTATATTACTCTTCTAAGAAGACACGATTACTAATGCATACTATTTCAAACACCATAGGCAAACTGTTTTATTCTTTTTGCACCATTGCACACTGAACTTGAGGGATGAACGGGTCATTACTCATTAACATATTTTGCATTATTGTCGTCTTCAACGAATGACAAATTTAAGTGCCATTTAATAGCTACTGCCTGCCAAGCTTAAAATGAAGGAGTTTTCTCATTGTACACTTATTGCATTTCCCTCTCCAGATCAAATGCATACCCAATATGAAAGCGTATAATTGTTTATAGTAACTGGCACATCTACGTCTCCGTAACGCATCACACTGCTGGTAAACAAAAGGCGACCAAAGAGGTGTGGCTACCTTGTCATAATTAGATATCGCTTCGCTTCGTTACTTTTGCTACTTCTCGGGCATTGTCATGGCCGTGGACTATTTTCGGCTAAAACGCTTAGGAATCGACCATATATTACTGATTAATCGTCGGGACGGTAGACGAACTTTAATACGGATGGTCCATTCGTGCTCACTCATTGCAATCTGCGTGTGGCTCGTCCACCTAAAACACAATTTAGTCTTTTAGACTGTAGAATTTCCTCAGTGACTTTGATTAAAATAATGAATCGACCGAATTGGATTTGTTTGAGCTAATTTTTATTCTAAGCACTTCTAGTTTCAACGTGAGACGCAGTCTCAATGACTTTCAAACTTCGCTGACCTAAGAAGAGCCTGGTATATAGACCTTTAGAATAAGCCGACGAGCAAAGCGGGTCCTGAGCTGGAAGGTGCTATCAACGGTTGTGTAACGGTTGTAAGCTTATTGTACGAAAGAGCCATGTCGCATCCAGTGTGAACTACACAAGACTATTCAAAAATATACTCCGGTATCAGCAACTGTTGGTAGATTAACGAAGGTAACGCTTAACGGAGATATGACCAGTTGTCGTAGAATGCTTCTACAAATTCAGTGTTCCCTCTCATCGTAAACCATTTTATTGTGAAGATCGACCAGAGCTTTGGAATGGACGATTGCTGCCAAGATGGCGGCTCACTCCGCCTTTTATTAAAATTTGCATTTTAAAGCAACTCATTAAGGACCTCGCTATACTCTATGTGTGTACCGTCTGAGTCTATTTACTAAGCGTTCATCCATTTCCCGCGTACCAGTTCTGCACTGTAATAACAAATAACACACGTGCACCGAATATGACCAATATCAAAATCATATTATAATCGGCAATGCTTGCTATTTCAATACTACTACAAAATTTACAAGCTCAGAACGAAATAATTTTCAATAACTTTTTTATGTTAATTGGACGTAATTACTAAAAGTGCACGTAAAATATTTTTTAGCTATCCAATCACAGAGCCCGATGTACGTTAAAAAAAAAGAAACGGTCAAACTGCGTTAAATGAATAACATGACCTAAAAAAAAATGTGCGTTAACCAAATTTTTTGGTCAGTAATTTCCGCGTTTCGAATGCACTTCAACAGGTGGTTACGTCTCAGTCGTCAAGTCAAATAAATTCAGTGTTAGCAACAGAATATCTTGCAACATATCTCTTAAGTAAAATAGATGGGCCGATGACGTTGTCTGTCCGCACCATACGGCAGTTACCTTAGCTTCACGAAGTACTTTCCCATAAATGGCATTGGGATTCTTCTATGCCCATGTGTTACAGCTTTTGTGTGTTCCCTCTTTAGCCACGCGAATCCACAGAGATTACTTTTTCAAGACTGAGGAGCGTTGCAAGCGTCTTTCGGCTGATGAAGCAAACAGTCGATGCTTTGCATGATCTGTAGGTTACTCACGTACGATCTCCTGAATCAACTAAGGCTGAGTATTTGAAGTCTCAACGTCATACGCCGGTCAGTACTGCGCAAGAGGTTTAGTTGTTGCGATTGGCAAGAAATGAAGGTGTTCAGATCCTCTAAAATGTCTTTAAGTACTTTATTGATGATTCCTTCCGAACGAACTGGTCCTAAGGAGGTACGACGTTTGAGTGCGCTTGCGCAGGATTTAGCAAAATAGTCCTAAAAGATGCAACATGCCTACTAGTGCAGAATATTGCTATAAATACTGGGCTTTGAAACAAGCGTTTTTGCACAAAAAAAGTCGATGAACTCAAACTTCGAACTTCATGATGAGATTGATTTTGTGATCCGTATCCGATCTGCGTCAGTGTATTGCTTGAAAATAAAGCACTGAGAGTCGATAATTCGATAATATCATGCATGCGTCGTTTCAGCTGATATTAATGCTAAATAAGACACGTAATTTTATACCTAGAGCATCAACAATATTTTTTTTGGTTTGCAACCAATTCTATTCTATAAAATTATACATCTAAAATGTAGATATTTTCTTTTTTTCTACCTTTTTCCCTAATGAGTTCGTACTTTGGCCTTGCCGTGTTATAATAACATAGCTTGCAACAAGCTGGAATTCTAGGGACTACTTTCGTAGTCCAGTAGTAAATCAGAAGCCATTGAAATTTACCTTGAGATTAAATTCCAACGAGGAATACCCTTGAGTAAGCTGTGCGGTTGAAACGATGTCCACAGCCGGCAAAGCGAAGTCCTTTGAAGCGCAAAAAGCAGTTCTTAGATCAAAATTTTACCTCAACATTGAAACGAAACGCCTCATCAAGCACTTTTTTGAAAATAATTAGATAAATTAGATTTTCATTCAGTATAGGCGTTGCATATGCTGGACAACGTGTTTTGGTATGACAGATATCAGATATTCTCTGTATGATGACATGGAGGGTATCATACATTTTTTCCACGCAAAAATGTAAATATTAAAGGAAGGCTGAGCTTTGATTACTGTAGAATCACTAGATTCTCATGCCGACCTCCCCCACATGCCTCCTAAATGGTGACAGTTGCAGATCTAACTTGGTTGAAACATTTACGATGAACTAAAAAGCTAATATTATCTCTATAGATAAGCGTAAATTGTTTTAAATGGTAACATGTTGTACTTTAGATGTATTGAAAATTATTTTACGTATACTTTGCTCGTAAATCCAATAGCTTAAATGGCCACTTTTCTCCAGTAGGCGATGCCTGGTCGTTGCGGTAGAAATATATCAGTGGCGTTCTTACTTGCGTAGCGTACGGCGTCCATGGTTATTAGAGGTTTCGTGTTTAGTCATATTAGGTTGTGAACATATCTTGTTGTGACTTATAGATATTGCTATTTTAAGGCAACAAATGGAAGATAAAATATGCGGAACCTAAAAACCGTATCTCTTACCCTCAAATAAACCTTACTCAATCATTTTAATACAGATTTCTTTCAATACCATTTTCATACAATTGTTTCAATACAATTCTTTAATCTCAAATATTTTATACAATATCAATATTGACATTTTTGAAAAAATATTGGTATTCATATCTCAATGGCAAAAAGCATATGGAGTAAAGCAAGCGTTTTGGAAAGCTTCTTACAAAGGGTAACAGCAGCCCATTCAAACTGAAAGAAAAAGTTCTAATTCTTGTCTGTAACGTCATTATAATTTGCTATTATTAAGTCGTCCTATCTGAAACATGACAAAGATTAATATCATTTTTTTTGAGATGACGCCTTTATAACGGTGCTTTTCTGGTGTAGTAGGAATGCCCTTGTGTTATTCGGAGCCTGATACCGTCCCCTTGGGCACTGCCACTTGGACCTGCAGTACGCTAGCCGTAATGAGGTCATGTAAAATCAGAACATCAGAACGTGAATTCTATCCTGGAACCGCAGCGCTGAAAGCAACTCGCCGTGTAGACCATGTTTTCGATCACGGGTTCGTTGATTAGGAGCACGTTAAATCGTTGGTTGAAAAATTTAAGGAGGACAGTTTTGAAAAAAAATGGGTCTTGTAGAAGAGAGTAGTATTGAAAGCTGTGTTGGAAGCCAGCTATCTCTGAGCGTGAAGGTATTAGCGCTTTGACTCGACTAATGAGGTCAAATATTTGGGCAGACAAGTGTCACACGAGTGATTTGGTAGAGATCATAAGCGAAGATATCAAGACATTTATCATCACACTACAACAGTGATCCATTCTTGTGTCATTTCGTGCCTTGTGATGAAGACCTGATTAGAGAATATTGTAGAGACGATAAGCGCAGACGGTTGCATTGAGGGGTGAGTGTAACTGAACCGGAGGCACATCAGTCTAAAGTAAATGTACAGCTGTAAAAGCTTATTGTGTTTATTTGGTAGCCTAATGTAGGTTTCATCAACCACTTCGTGAATCCTGGCTGAAGTGTCCTGCTAGCACTTGAAGGAGTTGCGTTAAGCAACCAAGATCAGCGAACAAAGCTAAAGAACTCCTAGTTCACGACAACGCTTCACTTTACAGTGCAAATACCATGATGAAAAAATACAAAAATGTTACAAATGGATTCTTGAAAGAAAAATTAGCATCGAATTTCAACAGGATATTGAAATTGCCTGTCTCGTACGCCAGCAATAACTAAGTTACCCGCCAAATGGCAAAGGGTCCTTAATAATAATAATGGCGTATACTTTGAAAATAGAAAGACAGCCTGTATTTAACAATTTGAGTTCATTTTGTCATGATTCATATTGAACGACATAATAATATTGATATATAATACCAACCTCAATGTTATCGGCAGTGATATTGTAACCAGATGCTTCAATGATGAGGCGGGGGAACTCTTTCTTCAAGTAAGTGGTCGTTTCGTTTAATTCCTGAAGAGCAATGAGGTTTGTTGAAGACTGTAATTTTTCAAATAGCGTGTGCTTGTTGTGTATTTTTAGAAAGACTTCTACGAGTTAGAAGGTCCCTTTGCGGATTTTTTATATCCTCTTCCCGATTTCCCTATGAGATTCATGCAGCTGGTTATTCTTTATTGAACTCATGTAACGACGGCGTCAGAAGAATGAACGGGTTCGTCCGAACTCTTAAAATAAATATATCAACAAAGCCTTTATATTTTTCAAACATATCGGTGGTGTGCCATTCTGGAGTCCACCCAGACCATCATTGCTGGATGTAAAGAAAGCCTACACATATTCACTGACTTCAAATTAATATCAGTCGGCTAAACTTTGAGGCACGGTAGCTTACTAACCTTAGATTTGAAATCCTGTAGCATTACAATGTCTGCTCCAGCATTGGCCGCATTAATTGCATCTTCGAGACTAAGGCATTCTACTTCAACTTTTTTCGTAAAACCTCCCACACGACGAGCGATCGTGACTGCCTGAGTCAGATTAACATGCGCAAACAATTAGGCAAATAGAACCTAATAAACAATTAAACGCCATATGTGTACGACCACATTTCTAACTGGAAATAAGGATCAGCTTCTTGAGGTCGTCTACACCAACTTGAAGGGTGCTTCAAGGCTACAAGGTGCTCCTGCCTCTTCTTCTTTGGGTTCATCTAAAGGTAGCAACTTGTACAGTAAACTACTACACGACATCCCTAGATAACGATTGTTGTGTTATTCATACTCTTTATCGATCAAACAAAGGTGTGCCGAAGTTGATAGTTCAGCATTTTGTTTAGGCAGATAATGTAAAGCTAATGAAAAGAAGATTAATAAAGCGATTAAAAGAAAATAGAACTGCGACCATTAACTTACAACTTTGCGCTGCGGTTCATAAAATCTACGAAGGGAGAGCAGAACTATACATTGAAAAAATATAGAAATTGCTTACCGAAACTGACGTAGCGAAAGAACCTTTTGTAAGGCTCTCAGGGTAATCAACAATTAGCAAACACACAAAGTTTTCTATTCCGCTGTTGGATCCTATGAACTTCTAATCTAAGGTCGCCCTTTGTCTATATAAAACCATATAAGGAACGTGTGGTCAGTATCGTTGCCGATATACGCCCCAGTGATTTGGAACACGGTGAGGGAAAACATTCTGATGCGTTAGAAGGAATGCGTGTTCCTTTGAGAGTGGCCATAGGCTTTAGGTGTGACCAAAGATGAAAGATAAAATGAACACAGAAAATATTAAATAATTCAAGGGGATCCTTGAACGACATCTCTGCTCTTATTGGTGCACATTGGAAATGATTTGTTACTATGACGAAAATTACCGTTTGAAGTAAAAATAAGCTATGTGGCGTGCTGTAGGAAAACTCATTAATATAACTAGAGTGATCTAACGATTTATGAAACTCAATAGTAAAAACGATTTGACTGTGACGTATATGCAGATGATACTTTAAGCGTGAGGATAAACGAGGTAGCTCACACAAAAAGGGTATGGGATCAGTGCATAGACACTTTGGCACTATTTCCACTTACCACTAGGCACTTAGCATTTGCCTCTCACGTAACGTATCGCTTCGAAAGCTACGTAATGCTAAAAATACAAATTTTCCCTATCTAAATTATTGAAGATTTTCCATCATTTATAAGGAAAACGCTAAACCTTTTCCCATACTTCGTACGTGGACTAATTTATAAATTTTCGAAGCACAAAACAGTTGAATCCACTATCGGTTCACTCAAGTGGGTGTACGAAGTGGTATAAGAAAAATTAAAATCATGTTCGCCTAATTCTAGTGATTATGGATAGATAAAAGTGAAACGCGACATGCATTTTTCACTATTTTTAATTTACATATATTAGACAGGTCCAGTTTTAATACCGAACGAGTGCATAATAAAAAAATAGACGAACTTTTTCTACGTTTCCAGCTGTTCGAATGTGATTCGCGTTGAGCATTACCATCGATGCGAGATCATTCCTAGCAATGCAAAGGAAAAATACAATTAGGTATTTTGTTAGAGAAACCAGAGTCATTATAGTTAAGCAATAAATATGAGGAGAGCAAAACATACGGGTCATACACATTACACAAAGGAGCAACATAGTCAAACATAAGGGAACAAAGAATCAAACGAAGATGTGAAACAATTCAAATAAACATACCTCTGTTTAATTTTAGGCATTCTTCTCATGGCGATCATCATTATTATTATTAGTATCATTAAGGTTACTACCTGTGCGTGTCTGCTCCTCCAATAACAAGCGAGTATTTTTCAATCAATCGAAAACCCGGGGTGGTTCTTCGGGTTCCGGCTAATATTCCTTGCCAATTTAACTTTAAGTGAACAAAAAAACGTGTACCCAATGTAAGTTTGACACGAATTCTGAAATTATTTTAAATGCAAAAACAATAAATAAATCTAGTCACACTGATTTATTTATGATTTTCCACATTGATAAAGTAGATCGTTGCTTAGTTCGTTGTTCTAGAAGTAGAGATAAGTCGTACCATATACACGTTATAAACATGTTTAAGGTTGGCACTGTCATCGGGTTTACAAAGCTTAGATCCTGCATAACCTAGACTCTTTCGCTTCTTGTTGAAGAAAGGCCTGGCTCTAATGTAGGAATATAAAGCGCGTGATCGTTAGATGCATTGATATGTTATCAAGCCTAGCTAACATACGAGATTAAGCTGTTCTCGTAAACCACGAGTTTTCGTTGCCACCCCACTAGCTCGAGCTAGAGTGTTGAGAACTGCCCGCTCCGCTAAAAGAACTCTTCGTGCAGGTCCACAAATCTCCGCCACTTTTACTGTTGGATGCAGCCACTCGCCTGCAATTGTACCAAGTAAATAAATTGAAACAATTGTTTGCTTAACATGCTCTATATATTTAAAGTGTTGTGCGAAAATAAGAAACCAAATTTGATAAAGCTGACCCTGTTCATCCAGAAAGCTTGGACAGCTGATTTAATATCAAATAGGGAAATGCTAACCATTGGCTATGGGTGATTCTATTGCGCCATTAAACTGGACCACTGAGTTTCTACTTTAAATCCAAATATATATATATATATATATGTTGGCGTTTCTTTTTAAGCGTGCTATCAGCAAAATAAAAATGAATACTTTTCGAATAAGATAAGAAACTTCCAAAATAAAATTACATACATTTTGCTAAAACGATTTGGACAATTTTACAAATGAGCGCCGTAAAAATCTATGGGCGTTTGTTAGACAAAGAAGCTCTAAGGGTGAAACACCTGGAGCCTAGGCGATGACACTTCATGATGATGGCTATATACTCAATGATGAGGAATCATACTGGGTCAGCAGGTGTTATTGCGCATGCATCCTGCATCCCCGACATACTAACACGACAGGTAATTGGCAACGTCAAAATAGCCGATAAAAAGCAGTATTACGTGCCTGTATTATTCATACTGTGTGTATTCTACTCACAATTTATGCTTTTTCTTCTAATACGTAGAATAGAGATTTATCCTAAAATACCGTTCCGCAACGTATTTTGATTCGAACAAGATCTCATAGGATCAGAAAAGCGCTCCATCCGACTAATAACATATTTGTTTTAGTTTGAAAGGTGCATGAAGTATTATGAAGCCAGTAAAGATGCTAGCTAGCATTGACAATCGGCTACCTCAGACTTCGAATGCCCTTTGATTATCCTGCGTAGTTTGTATACTCTTTTTCATGGCTTCCCGGAGGGATCCCTTAAAATTTGCCTCAGGTAATTTAATAACCGGGGCTATACGCGACATATACAAAAAAAATGCTATGGCCAAGAGGACTATATTCTGATAGCAAGTGCTTGCTTCTAATCTGCTCGTGCTTAATGGTGAACAATAGAACTTATTTCAGCCCCATTAGTACACAGGTCTTGAACTAACTGTAAAGAGAACAAGAAAATAAGGTTGGACCTATAAAATATAGATCTAAAATACCTTCATTACGGTGCCATGTGATATTGAGGTTTAGTTCGTGGACAATTGCATTTGCGAATGGAACACCTGCCAAAACGCCTGAAAATAAAATAAGGGTACCAATAGTGTTTAAACTTGAAAATAGCCTATTCTGGATTTAAAGTCCCCTTGTTAAACGACGTCTGTCTTAGTTTATGCATGTCGGTCGTAGCTTCTATTATTAACACGGAAAGCTTTCGTATTTTCAGAAATAAATAACAATCAAGTGATTCATTCTATTTCGTCTTAGTGAGAGGGTGATTCGTTCAGTTTAGGGACAAGATCTGCCGCATCCCAAAGCTATATAATTAGAGTCAATCATATGTTTGTATAACATATGTCCGCACAGATTCTGCTTAATTAAAGTAATGGTTAATTAACCATTTCTACAATAGTTGTTCATCGAGACTGAAGGCAGGACCCTTCATGAAGCGCTTCTTTCTTGCTGCAATAGCGGAGCGAACGCACTCGGATTCAATAGAGAATTACTAATTAGTAGCTTTAACTAACTCTAGCTAACTCTAGTAGTACTCAAAGTAGCTTAAATTACATAAAAATCTATTTTTAACATAACTAAGGGGAATATAATAAATTAATAGACAGTATTCTTGTGCAGTGTTAGGATAATAGCAGTTATAATAAGCTCATTATAATAGATAACTGGAAAATATTGGCGCATTTTTGCTAGGCTACGGTACTGTACTACCAGGTGCAGGTGAGATGTCACTATTGGATTTTATAAAGAGATACACAAAACATCTAGCCACAGAGTTCAAACTCCAGCTTGTTTGAGGACGTAAGTGAAGATTTTTTGATGGTACAGCTTATCGTTATTGCTCACCCTCGGAATTACCCCAGAGATGTGCGGTAATAGCAGCGTCGCCCACGACGGCTGCTGAAGCGTCCAAGCCAAGGTGATCCTCAGAGATCCATGAGCGGGCCATTATCTCTAACTGGATCACGTTGAGCAGAAACTCCGCCATTCTGCAAATCTGTAACAGTTGATGAAATATGCTAAAATATCAAGTTGATATGCTCCAATTGTCCTACAGGTTAAGTTATTTCGAAAGACTAATGTTATTTAAAAGTCCATGTAAGAGGCTTCGGATCTGAAGGCCATCAAAGTATACAATAATTGAAATATGTTTCGCTGCGCTCTCTTCACTTTGCAGTATTACAGACTCAAAATAAAATAGGCATAGAAAAGAAAAACAAGGTTTGGCACTCAGTATTTTATTTAACATACAAGCAAAGGACATCACGAGTAACTATTTATGTTAAGAAAACAAATCTCTACCTTTGCGCTGTAGGCATCCGATAGGAAAGTTCGTAAAACTGATCTGAAAACTTAGGCTGATACAGCTGCAGACAGTTTTAAAGAGAATAAAAAATCAATAGGAAAAGAAGTATTGGCGGGACGTGAAACTAGCTTTTCTTTCAGGTGGCAATGCTCTTCTAGAATTAAATGGCTAATCTTTCCCTCACTTTTCCGCACATAGCTAGCGTGATGCGTTAGACTAGATCACTCTTCAGCCGTCCGAAATCCCTCAACCTTGAGAAGGTTGTTACTGACAGCGTAGTAAGTCACCCTAGTGCGGAGAGAGGAAAGCCTTTAGAGGGAAACAAAATGCTCAAGGAGACGACAAACGTGTCAGGTATAGAAGAGCAAAGACCTTATAAACAAAAGAACTAAGCCCATAGGATGCAGCTAATTGAGACATTATTCGAGTGAGCTCCAGTTAACGGTAAGAAAACAGATGCGGTATGACAGACTTGTCTACCCTGACAACCAGGTTGCGTGCTTTTTTAACGTTTGCTGCACTAGCAATCGAATCGGTTCAAACACAGAATTAGTGTCTCGAGCTAGCATTGCGATGTCGTGACTAATCTGCTTTACCTGGAATGGAGCTAACCTGGAAGTAAGGATGAACGTACGCTAAATAAAAGAAATTGTCCTTTTACAAAACGTACAAGTTTTTAAATACCTGATTTTACACAGTATCGTCCGCTAATAGTGTGGTGTCTAGAAGAACATCTATCAATGGAGGCATCTATAACTAGAGATATCGCACTTAAGGCAGGTTGAATGGTTGGCACCTCCAAAGATGATACACAGTTCGTAAACTGCTACCAGGCAAACGCGTTACTTCACGCTGACTCTGGCCGCGAAGTAGGTAATGCTCTAGGAATTATCTGCCACGTACGTTGGTAATTACCCCAGGTTGCTAGTAAAAGCATACTAAGCTTTATCAACAAAAATCTTCAGCAATAGCTTGTTTTGCTCTCTTCATAACTTAATAGAATAGTCTTATTAAATTGTCAAAAGGAAGGAAAGTGTATTTCAGGCGCTTAAGAGGCGCGCAGCTGGTACGCTTCATCGAGCTTACACATGTAAAAGAAAACTTATAATCACGAATCAAACAAGTTGCTAATTAATTACTTGCAGCAATCACCTTAAAGCTATATTTCCATTACTGAAGTTGTATTCCTGCCGTTCTCACAAGTTTGCTAGTTATAGCGTTATGTTAAATTGCTTAGTTCTGCCAACAACTTAAGACGAATTACCTAATTCATTTACATTTATTAATAACGGAGATAGAGAAACAGTGAAAACAAATTGCCCGTTATGTTGATAAATACGTTTCTGGGCCCAATCTTTTTTTCAGTAAATGCAGCCCGAATACTATGTAATATTTCAAATTATAGTCTTGCATCCACGGATTACAATTCCTAACTAGGACACGAAGTCTGCGATGAAGTCCTTTTAAATAACGTCTATCTAACGCGGAGCTTATACTGATGGCATATCGCGTCTTCGCCAGTTTTGTACCTTACAGTGAACACTATAACATATATGGTATTTGGTAGCATCTTGTTGCCAACCAACAAAAACATCGAAAACCAAATCCGAAAATTTATTTTTCTGAACGCTTAGGTTTACCGTATATACGTAGTAATAGCTATTCAAAAGGAAAAGCACGCTATAAAGCAAACTGCTGTTACGAACCTCTTCGTGGGTGATGCGTACAATTTTGACGGCTATTAACGGTGCGCGGTCCGCTGGTCCTCGGTCTCTCAGCGCTTAACCAGCCGCTCAGAGATAGAGGCACAGGGGGGTGATGCCACGCTAATCGGTAACTGTAACCAACAAGTGAGGACCGATAAGGAGTTCAATTTAAATTTATAAAGACATAACGGTGAATTATGCACTACGAACACTCATTCTACGAAAAAAACAATGCTTCTTAACGTTTTTTCTTTTTCGATACTTTGGAAAAATTCCCTAAACAGTCCGAGTGAAACCTGTAAAAGCAGAACGACATTGACCTATTGACGCTTTTACTGGGTTTCCCTATTGTTCTACCTGTTGCAAGTGGTACTTCTTGCATTTCATAGACGCTAGCGTTTTGCATGGTTCACTTCGCTTCTCAATATAAGTGCTAGGATAATGGTTGAGTAGATGCGCTAACTACAAGAACAACGTGTGGCCATTTTCAAAGCTATTTGAAAAACTGAATCACCCATCTAATTGGTCTCGTGTTTCGTGTAAGTTACGAAAGATGTGGAACCGAAAGCTTAGACGTTGCCGAGTTTTAACTCCAAAGAAAGCCATATTTTTAATTTGGAAGCTCAGATCGCCCCAAAAAATCTCTGAGAATTAAGTATCTATACATAAGGAATTGTTAGGGACTGTGTCAAACTCATTTCTCTTTGGTTATCTTTGGGACTTTATTAGTATTATTTACCCCCGAAACTTGTATTTACTGAAAAGGCTGTATTTTTCAACGAGATAGGCACCAGTGGCCGCCGTCTTATTGTAAAATGTACTCTCGATTTTTCGGTTGACATTCAGGAGTTGCATGTTATCTGCAGTTTTAGACTATTATGAAACGGCTAAATAACCATTAGAGAGTTTTTATGGTGTGAGAAATTTCGAATCGAGTCGTTTCGGTAATTAGAACACGCATATATATATATATATATATATATATATATATATATATATATGAAGACACCGACGGTGTTTTTCGAACTTTTTGTCAAATGTATGCAATTTCATGGCAGATTTAAATGAGATTACTGCGTTCGTAATTTTTTGTGTATATAAAAAAAAAGTTGTAATAGTGGTTTCTGTGGAGCTTAAGTATGGTAACTATATCATTTACCATTCAGTACAGTATGCCTTTTCAATTAAAAGCGCATGTATACAGTTATGTTTTACATATAATTTACGTTTAAGCTAAAAATTGTTTGTGACGAGACAGAAAGATCAAGTATTCAGGTACTTTGATTCAATCATTTGTAGTAGAATTTCGAGTTCCTCCTATGTTTTTCTAGCTGTTCCAGGGACGGTCAAATGTATCTACACTGTACCACTTGAAAAATTATCCATTATATATCACGCCGCATTGTTTTTTGAACACGGCGCGGTGAAGCATTGTTAATATGAGGCCCCAAACGAGTGATACTATCACTCATATAGAATGTTATTACTATTTAAATCAATTACGGCTCTCATTTTGTTATTTTCGACTAAAAAGGCTATTGCTAATGCACACACTGCAGAGGCATAGTCCTGTATGGATTTAGTCAATAGTTATTTTATTATTAAAATTGATTCTGGATTGATTTCATGTACTATTTCAAGTGCTAAAAAAACTTTCACCAATATTAGAAATATTCCAATAGCTCACCGAATTTGTTTCTACATCCGATGCGCAGCTGGCTTAATGCATGTTTTTAATTTGTATGAGATAAAATGTACGCCCTCAAACCCTGACAATATATATATATATATATATATATGTATGTGAACCGTCTCGAAAGTGGTTCTCGCGACTTAGTTTGTGTAGGCTTGATATGAAGTAAAAACAAAATGAAGTAGAAGACATCCCTGGGAGAAACGCTAAGAAACGGTTAACCCCCAACGTAAATAAGGGGAAAAACGGGATTTTCAGACGCCGCTTTGAACATCGATTGATGTGTATTATATGTTGTTTCGTTTTTCGAGTTCTACGCTGTAGTCGCGAGAGTGGATTTTAAAGGAAAATTCGGTTAACTTAGTTCAACGGATTCATAGAAATTCCTTAAAATATCAGTGTCGTTCCATTTTTGCGGGCTTCGAGTGTCTACACGGAATCGTATAGTTAAGGCCAGTATTACTTTGAGATAACCGCAAGAAGGTGGCGAGTTTAGGGTTACACAAGTGTAGCTCATGGAGGCACTGAATAAAGGACACGAACGGATGGGACAGGTGCTACAAGACTAGAAAATGATAGTAACCGAATCAGGCTTGAGTTGCTGAAATTGAACAGGGTTACATGGTGACAAATTCGAGAAACGCCATGAACTGACAGATAGGGATTACTGAAACACGACGGTAAGGCCATAGCAATAGGACACCGAAGAAAATTGCTACTGCATAACACACAAGTCGAGTAGTGAATGCCATTCAACATATCTAAAACCCGTAATAGATCGGCCTATATAAGCCAAGTTGTCGCTTAGACAAGCATAAATGTAATTATTATTAGCGATTTAGGTAATCACGCTTGCATGTTTATGCGGTACATACTTCCGAGAGGTACATGCTCGGAATGCATTATTCCGGATGTTAAGCTCTGGTAAACGATCGCCATCTGTGTATAACCGATAAGATTTTTTATTTTCAATTAATTACCTACCACTAACAAGTACAAGTGGTTTGTGACGATTTTACTGTTCAGTTCCGTTTCGTAATGCTCGTTAGTCCGTCAGTTCGATTTTCTCCACGTAAGCGGAATCCATTGGAAAGTAGTTTACAGAAGATCACTTCCTTGCTAGTTGTTCAGATCGTAAACACTAGTGACAGGGGGCACCTTGATACACCAATCGTTTAGCAAGCCTCAATCAATCGGATGCGCCATTGTTGGTATATGATCAATTCATTTGCAACTATGCTACCCTACGTAAAAGGCAATCCCTTAAAATGATGAGCGTAACTTAGCCAGTCAGTTATGTTGTCGCGTGTTAGTTCTACTGTTTGAGCGAGTATGTTCGACATACGCTGCTTCTAGCAGTGGTTAATAATCAGACCTAAATGATGCTTGTTCACGCGAGCGCTCAGCAGCTGGGAGAGGGTGACGCCTTCCGCACATCTACCCCAGAACACTATCTCCATAAAGGGCTCGCCGTTTACGCCTCCAAAATCCCCAGTTCGTATTGGCTAAATTGAGATAATTCTCATACAAGTTGTATATACACTTTATTCTTGGATCGTTGGACTTGTTAATGAAGTAAACAGAAGCATCCTTTTCTGAGCTTGCCGGAAGGGTGTTTAGTGCTACTATTGGTATCTTTCCATCAGTTTAGTCATGTACAGATAGGTCTGACAGCTGTCGATCCAAAATGCTATTATATCTATTTAATAAGATAGATAAGCAGCTTCGCGTACTAAAAACTAGTGAACGGTGCCTTCAGTTATACTCAATTGGACCAATCAATCGACTAATCCGCGATCAGTTAATGTAGTGATTGATCTTATTGGCTCTTGGCCTCAATATGGGAGCCCAGCGAAATGCAGCGTAGCAAAGCTGAGCCAGACTTTATCACCCGTCAATCTCAAAAGAGCATGGGCGACGTACGCGCATCGAATGGCCGGCTTAGTGGAGCGTCAGATCGCGAACAGATACCGCGTTGAAAGCATCATGAGCCATGCTAGCGAGAACAGAGGCATCAGTTTCTGTGTTCAATGTGTACTATTTTAGGCCAAGGACGTGAGAGGCAGTAGAGTTTGTCTGAGAATATATTCAATGGATGTACTAACGAATTCGTATAACAAACAAGTTCCACATACTATGCAAAGGTACATTGAGAGCTAAGGTTGTGGTAGGCAAATAAGATTGATCCTTTGTGTTGTTAACATCTTATAATCGAAAAAAATTATCAGCTGCCTTTTACTGTTTAGCCGTACGTAAAATTAAGTTTGATATATTAAGCGAATAATATTGTCTATAATATTCATATTTGCTAAGGTTTAACTTATCAAGCTTGAGAAGTTTGCGGAAGTATGCGTAAAGGTGGGAAGGAATTTTGACTCACAAGAACTATTCTAAGAACTAAGAGTAATTGAATTTCGAAAAAAAAATTTTTAATTATCTGAACGTGGTATTTCGTCTGTATTCATACATAACATTTGAACTTAGCCCCTGCCATAACACAAGTATAATTGGCATTGCAGAGGTAATGGTGTTAGTTTTCGCTCTAAAAAAAAAAAAACAAGATTTTAATTTTACGCTCCATTGCTTTTATCTCCCTTCTGAGATTAGCCAAGCAAAATATGTTTTCTTACAAACGAAGTATCCTAATACACGTTCGCATTAAAAAAGTAAATTTGAATATTATCGAGTTAATAGTTCTATAAGTTTCAAAAACGATCCATAGCTCGTATGTACTCCTAAATCTGCGTTGAATATTTTAGGCGGTGATAGAGCTCGATGAACGAAACATCTTTTTAGTTTTTTATCATTTACTGCCTCAAAGATTCGTGTTAAATTGAGCTGGTAGACGTGATTTAGGGAGATAAGGAACTGTGTGAAAACATCGCTCCGACTTAGAGAACGGAAACGTGTTCCTCTAAAGATAATCTGCTCTTTTATTGATTATCTACTTTAATGGTAAAACAAAGTGCGTTACAATTTTCTATCATGAAACCCTGTTTTATTTCGGTATCTTATTTTTTTGCCCTTTGGGTGACGCTAACTGAAGTAACGAGTGGGTGTATAAACGAGTGGGTTTTCTTTCGTAATGAAAATCTTTTAAGTAGCTTAAAACTTTTAAGTAGCTTAAAAACTAAAAGTTCGAGATATGGGTATTTTACGAAAAAAATGCGCTTTCTATTACATGCATTTACTCTTTTTCATCGAAGCAGTAGTTTTCCATATATTGACATGTTTACTTTAATTATGTCCATCATATTACCTTTACACAAATATAAACATTTGTTGGAGAATAGGGCCTTAGCGTTGCGTGGTAAAAAATTTTTTGTCTAACTTCATCACTCAAACAAATTTTAAATACATTGCATATATGTCAATAGACACATACGTTCGACGTTACACAGGGAGTAATGCGACAGCCAAATCACAAAGAACATTATGAAAGCAACAGGCAACCTTTACGGATTTGAAATAATTTAAAGCAGACAAGGTAGCCAGTGGCTCAACAGTAAACATTTGGAAATCTGCGCTTTCCTCTTACAAAGAAAAAGTTTCATTGCATTAACAATAAGACATTTGTGTCACAGTCGTTAACTGATTAGGAAAGGAAATAAATCTATGCAGATAATCTTATCCCCTAAAATGATTTTGTTCATTCATATGTCACAAAAATCCATATATACACATTATATTCTATTTCAGCAAAATTATATCACTTTTTTTTAAACTGTTTTTATCAGCAGCTCAGACTTTGTGTACACCTAGTACTTCCGCTGTGTAATTATTATTGGGTATTCGAGTTAGTAGACGGACAAGTTTTGACGATCTACTTTTAGGTTACAAGCTATCACTTTAAACTTCGAATAAATCGTTGCCTTAGAATTTTACCCAAATCCAGGCTTCGTACCAGCATCTCGCAGGTGAAAGATCTTAAGAAGCCATTTTTTTGATAGAGATAAAGCGTATCAGCGTCAGCAACCCTGCTAAGGACTCATCGCTTTTTCGTTGGCTTGGTGGATTCCGTTGAGCTGCATTATATACTCTTCAATCAAATGCGGTAAGCAGCAATCGGCGGAAGGCCCCTGCATTTGTTTTAGTTACTAAATATGGAAAAGGTGATCCATCCTTCTAACTTAAATGCTAATCAAATACAGGTAAAATATAAGTTTTAGTGAAAACATTTTTATGTTTATTTAGGCCACTGGTCTCTTAGTATTCAGCTATTCCTTCTTCAGGTTGAAACGCTTACATATAGGTTATCAAGTGTAATGGTCAGTTTTATTCCAATCAGAAGTACATTGGTATGATAACTTGATACGAGCATCGGTAACAAATGACGGGAATCTTGAACAATTAATTGTAATGTGTATAGTTAATGATGTTATAATTCCTTTTAAATCAACGCGGTGTCTACAAATATAGAATTTGCAAATGAATCATATAATAGTCATGTCAATAATCAGTAGATACCTCGAGTTTTAAGCGTTACTTAAAGGCTGGTTCTCAAAAACTTCCACGTCTTCGAGCGCCGACCGCTACGTCTCCCTACATTAGACATGGCTCTCAGATATAACTATCACTGAGAGATAATTATAATTATGCATTGTAAATGATATAAAGACAGCTGATACATATGTAAACTTCATGTTAATAGTCATATGGATCTATGTTTCGGGTAACACTGGCGAGTTTCGATGCTCGAGAGCTTCCCGAAGCTTCCTTTAAATAGTTAGATAATAATATTAATACCTTGATAATAAGATGACCTTGTATATTTCATTATATTGGCCATAGTCTGCTAGCGTTAAACCGCCCTTAATTTTCGACTACGTTTGCTTGGAACCATCCATAATAATAAACTATACGGTTCTTCATCTTCATTGAGCACGGTCATACGACCGTGTTAAAAAGCAGGGTACGAGAGCGTGTTGATAGGATAATAATAGTCCTGTAAGAAAAAAGCTTAGAGATGGCCAACACTGTTTTGCGAAGACCTAAACAGCCTGAGACCTACTTTGTCGGAATTAGGTTGCTTACTTCCACTCGACAGATTGCAATGGATAATCAAACAGAGCAAAGCGATTAAAAAATCATTCAGTTTTTTGGATAATATATACTATATTTTTTAGTTGTCTTCAATTAGGTTATATTATTTTTTATTCTTCAGCGATTTTATTTAATCGGCTAAGTGTGGAAACCTAGACAGGATTCTATATATATTTTTGTTCTTGGATATTTTTACTATGAAATGTGAATGAGAGAGATTGATAGGAGGAAAAGCGGTTGCCGATTAAGCAATGCAAGTAGTCTTTAGACTACGTAGCAACTATATATAAATCATTAGTGATTAAACGTGCCACGGTCTTCATCGGGGTATTTGTGACGAAAAGTTTTACCAGCGTGCGTAAAATCGAAGAGTTGTCAGCAGTTTCTGACTTATGATAGACATGATCCTGAAGGCTAGTGTTGGAATTTATCTAGCAATAGGCACGCCTGCTGAAATAGATGAAGAAAATATTCGCTGCAGTCCTAAGTAAGGTTCTCTGCAGTTCTTTTCAACACGGGCAAAGTCATCTAGTAAACCTCATGAAATATTACAATTTGATGAAAAGAAATAACAAGAGGCTAAGGCAATCCTACATTAATTTGATTGTCCGACATCGGGTCTATTAGTGATCTTCATGCCTGCATATAGAATGGACATTTCAATATTGATTTAGCTTGCTCCAATTCGATCTCGGCCTTTGAGGAAACGTTCTGCGACTAAGTTTCGGGCTTTAATTTGACAAGAAATTACTTCTCGCTGTAGGTTGCGTATTATGTATACAAACAAATGTCTTTCAATAAAGTAATCCCACTCTGTTTACGCTGCTCGTACTTTTCGGCCGCGGTAAACTGCTCGAGGGGCGATTATAGTAACCTCCATAAGCCTGAGACAGTGATGACATTGAAGTCATTGAGGGTGAACGTCGGCTTCTTCTGAAATTAAATAAATCAACATGCTGCTTGTATACATATTCCGCTGCTTTAAAAGTCCACGTATAGGGTAAATATGCATTGAGCTGTCGCACAAAGTCAGAACCTCTATAGAGTACAACTTTTTGAAGACTGCTGGTTTAGCGAGTCGGCCTTAACTATTTTTCCACATTATGAAAAAGAATGAGAATTTAGGTAAAACAATTAAATAATTTTAGGTTGTACATAACTAAAAGAATTACCTGTTTTGAATTGTTAAATAGAAATGCAAGGCGACGGTGGCGCCAAAAAATATGCTAATATGAAATCTTGTATTTTCGTCCTCTCTTCTATCCTGTTCACTGCGCCTTATTTATTGACGTATACGTTTGCCTTTTGGCTGTTTAGGGACGAAACTGCATTGTGGTTGCAATGTTATTATAGCAATTTGAATGAAGTATAAGGCATTTGCATTCGATAAAGCGCGCTAGTTCTTAGGTTTTACTCAATAACAGGAAGTTCATCATCAAATTATACACTTTTTAAAGAGACCACAATTTATTCAGCAACACCTCACCCTGAGAGGCTGGCAGAAGTATATCGGGACGAAGTGTGTGCCTCGGGAAGTCGGGGGTACGATGACGCAAACGTGAAAAAATCCGTCGAAAGCCTAACAAGAAAAAGCATTGCCAAATCAATACTAATTTTTTTTACGTAAACCTTCGGTTTGATTAGATACATGGCGGATAGTGCAGACAGAAAGATGGTTTTATAACCACCCCTTATGAGCATTTTTAGAGTAATCACAGATGTTAATATGATATGTAGAAAATTATTGACATTTTGTAGCAAACTTTTTATGCTTCTGTGAAACGCTGTGAGCAATTATATAATATTTTTCTAATCCCGAAGTCCACGTATTCCAGCAATATGTGAAAGCCTTATTTATTAATCTTATTATAACACCTTTTCTGTTCGTCGTCCTGAGTCGGAAAATGAACTCGCATAATTCGATTTAGCTGAGCCTGCAAAATCTAATCATATCCAAACAAAAAAAATTATAGTTGGCCTGAACTATCATTTTTAATTAAGTAAAATATCGACACCCAGTAAAATACGTATAGTAAAAATAGTGTAGCCGCAAGGAGACAATTCGCCTGTTATATAGACAAACCTGATTTATTCTAACGAAACGACGTTATTATAGATTTAGATATACCTCCTAAGGTATTCTAATACATATATGCTGTAGCATTTGGGGCGTTGATCCTTTTGATTGAATCTTAACATGCGATTTTAGCTCTTTTGTATATTAGGTCTGCTTTTACTCGTTAAAGATGGCAACCTTTAAAACATGTATCATCAGTCACTGGATGACACCTCTATTAATGTAACTTCGCTCTGCTCATTAACTGAAACTGTGCCTAAATGCAGTTAGTGTTAATCAAATCATATTTTTTCTTTGCAACGTGCCTATGTCACCATTGACGTTCTTTAGAGTTTGGGACGTTATGAGAGTTAGGCTCAAGTCCTTAGCGGAACGTTTTGTTAAGAGGACGGCGTTGAACGTGTTACGTTTTTCAGGATTTAGGCTGTTTCTTTAATAATACCTGTACCTTGCAAGCGGTTGTGAACTGGAGATGAAGTGCACTGGCATGAGGTTCGATCACAAGGTAAAATAATTCACAGTGCTCTAGTAGTCTACGATTACCTAAAGGAAAATGATATATGATGGATGCAACGTGGAAACCATTGCCATTACTACGAGCATTCCGGTGTCCCTGTTTTCAAGAGATCAAGCACTGCTATATATATCATTCTGTCTAGCTGATAAGATGTATAGGTTTATGGATATCCGAAAAACTCAATAGCGAGTGCTCGAACAATTCATTATTGTCCAGGTGCTATGTCCTTAAATAGAAACAAGCTGCTCTACATAAATAGGCATGGTTAAAATATGCATGGGCTGAATATGTATGTGTTGTACCAAGATATTTCAGGAACATCTACGATATATACTATTAGCAAAGGATTCTTGTATGGCTATATTTTTATATACTTCAAAACTATATTCAATGTCCAATAGCGGTATCTTAGCGATGCGTGTAATTCTCACACTTGCTTGGGACCCGTGGACTGTTTACTTTTATTGCAAAGATGTTCCAAGGGCGCCATCGCCATAGTTTACCAAACAAAAATTGCACGACGGATGGCTTCGTCGCAATAAGTTAGTTAATTAAAAAACTTTATTCAGATCTCTTGGCATGAAGTGCTTCTGGTTTTGCTTCATCAACTACTTTTAAAAGGGCAGTTAGTGCATTGAGCTTTGAGTTGGTGTAGTACTTTACTAAGTATCTTGACAGGTATTTGTTTCCTGTCCCAGTGCTGATCCTTTTTAAATAATACCAGTAAGCGTATCAGAATTCATTGAATAGAGGGCTACTTGTAGTGAAACGTTTATATGAGGAAAATTACTTTGAAAACTACGGCTAGCAGTAGGATCAAAAACACTGTTATAAACAGGGTACATTTCGAGTGAATCATTTCTACTACGCTGCAGTAACACATACAAAAGTTACTAATATGGATATAAAGCCTTGCTATTTAGACTTATATATAAATAATAACTTTTAAATTTGATTAGGTGCTCACCGGAGTGATTCGGATCGAGGCACATAGTTACAATAACATTCAATAGTACCGCGTGACAAACAACGAGTACAGGAGGTTACATGAAAATGAACATTGCGGACTCGGCTCACTGAAGAAACGACGGGACGAATCATCGAGCGGCGAACCTAAGATTAATCGTCAGTCATAAATTACGTAACATAGACATGTCTACCATTGTCAATTCATTTTAAACTGTGGCCATTAAGTTTATTTGATCAACTTTTTACTCTAAACGCTCTATCCTTTCTACTCATATACGTAATCTGCAGACGATTTAACTACAAATGCTAAACTTACTGATCGGCTTCTCCATAGTTGGGCCTCTGGTCTAGGGGGCGAAATACTTCTTTCGCGAACTGGAGGTATCTCATTGTTATTTGAAGCTGTTGATGAGATTCTGCAAAGTCAATTGAGCGAATACCGTTTTTGTTGGGATTTTTGTAGCCTGGATGGCTATGTGACTGGCTGAATAATGCAGTCTTTGGAACTTTTCCGGAAAGTTATGCGAGTTGCGACCGCGTCTAAACGATCTGCGTACATCTGGTTACCATCATGGTTTAATTTGGAGTAATTAGTTTGAAATGGAAACCTGACGAAAGACTCAATTACCTGTTATATGTTTTTGTTTTTGCCGCATCGGTCGAAGCAGTAGGCTTTACAATATTTTCTAGTTGAAATCACTTGTAAAGTCGGAGAGAGAGATATCACTATTGCACAAGATGTCGACCATTTACAATAAAGAGTACTCCGTTGGAGAAGTTCTTTGCGCTGTGGTTTCTTAAAAAAGTTATTATAAGTTTTGAAGCACACTGTATAGGAGTCCGTTAGATGAAAGGACTCTGATACAAAGTGCGGTAAGGATAACGTATTCCTTAATCAACACTGCTTCGTTAGCCTAGCCATACTCTAGTTCACTATCAGGATATTTCAATAGAAATCCTAGTTTTATTTAGCTCTTCAAGAAATCTGTCCATTTTTTACTTTTCGTTTGTACGAAGCCTTCGATAAACCTGACTCGTTTATACTAGTTGGCTGCAGCGAGCGCGTAAGGGGCTTGTGGTAGCAACTGAATAGTATTAACCCTATTTCTTGATGTTCTATCCGGCTACGCGAAAAGAAAAGGCAGTGGGAAAATCTTGTTTAACAGGATTCAATAATTCCCTATCAGATCAAGGGTTTGGGCAAATCAGGGCCATATGAAAATACTTGGAACGTAATGAAAGTACACAGGTTAGCATTAAACAAAGCTTGCTTAGTTTGACTACTTAGCTACTTAGCATAATTTAAATCCGCGTTAAATAATTTCTCATAACGAAAAATGAAGCGGCTTTAATTTTACAGACCTATTGACTTATTTTGGCATCTTTATCAGCTACAGCTTAGTGTTGCATGAAGCGTTTTTCTCGTTACCTAGAATAACGAAAATCTATAATTGATATATAAATGTACATGTACATGTACATGTACATGTCTTTGAGGCTTGAAATATAGCGTCGTTTGCTTCCTACCTGCTGTAAAGCTTTGGTAAGGAAAGGCTAAGAGAGGACTGCGTGATGAGTCGCACGGGTGTTTCTAGGAGTCTGGGCATTGTCAGATGCCCTGAACTCCCGATACGGCTTCCGCTAAAAAGAGATCTGCGACCTGAAATCAAGCAGGTATCATTTTCACCCTGTTCGCGTCTTGTCTGATGCATTGACCTGAAAAAGAGGTTTTTTATTTATAATCATAACTGGTGTAATAGTTACGCTTAATTAGCGTGAATATCGTTGTACCAATTATCTTTGAAATACTTAAATTACTCCCCGCCTTGTCACGGGCAACGTGTGGCCGTCAGCGTAGCAAGACCGCACATATGTTTGGTTCTTGCGTAAAGGATGAGCATACAACGCTTAAATTTTTAGCTCCAACCTTTTTATTGATATAAAAGTTATTTTACACGTATCACCTCTAAAATAAACATTTTTTTTTACGTTATCCATAAAAGAAAAGCACGGTTAAACGCTATCAAGCCTTACCTGGACCTTCTAAGCAGACCTTTCACGGGAGAGGTACTTCGTGAAGTCCTGCTTCTGCAGCTGAGAGTACGCGTTGCTCCCGATGAGGTAGCCATTGTAACTATCTACTAAAAAGGAATTGCAAACAGAGAAATTGAAGTCTAATAATAATAAAATGTCCTTTGGTCAATTTTTTATCCCTAATTACTCGTTTTAAATTCATCACACCGGTTGTGACACCTAATTATAAATATTAGATTTTTTTTTTTTAATAGTAGTAGGTTTTTTGTACTTTATCACTTGTGGTTTCATTACTTACATAGCCACAATAAGATAGACAGTAATAAAGCGTTCACTCTAGCTGGGAAGGTTAGAGATCTTCGATTCGGTTAGAGAGAAACGTTCATTTACCGTAAACAGGCCGTATGCTAGAGAAGTTCTCTTGTTTTTTTTTGGTTATTTAGTTTTACGAAGTGGTGGCATTTGTGTGATAAAGTATGCTCTTGCTAATTAAGGAAACGGCGTGGTCTTGGTGCTTACACCCCTATTTTTAAGTGCGCCTTCATAACGTCCACCGCGAATATCTCATCATAGCCGAATCAAAATTCAGTGATGACAAATGATTGCTATATTATAGTCTTACCATGCCACTTCATAGGTCTTGAAAACTCCATTCAGCGAAACCCGTGTGAAGTAATGCTTAATGGCTTTACTACTAGACGTGAAAAAAACTATGAAAAATTAATGAACATTCGAATTATACATTTGTGAATTATTTACACGTCAGCGATTTGAGCGTGACGCGTTTGTAAGTTGCAAAACTGCACAGAATTAAGTTACTTCCATACTGAAAGAATTTTTAAATGAAGGATCAATCGTCGCTGGAAGGAAATGACGTTGAACATGTGTGTATACCACACAGTGGCAGCTGAAAAACGGAACTACATAAGGAACCTCCAGCTAAAAAAAGGAAAAATGAGAAATAAAAAAAAGCTCTGGTGTCGCACCGGCTGTGAGCGCAGTTTGATACAAACAAGTCGCACTCTCCATTATAGCTCACTGCTTTGAACGGAAGTTTTTTGACGCGAACGGTCTTCTTGACGAGTCCTGGTATATGTCAGCATTATTATTTTAAATAAGAATATAATTAATATTAAATAAAGAAGAATAAATAAAAAAAAGTCTGTGGCAGCAGTATTATCTTGTAAAGAGCAGTTCAGTGAGAGTAAGCTATCTATCTATCTACTTGCTTTAGGCCTTGATGAGGCTACTGCAGACGGAACGGTTTGAAGGTACATAAAGTTGTTGTGTGACAACCTGCTGATGTTCCTACTCTGATACCGCGGCACCTGATGGTCCTGAGACCGCGTCATGCATTGTGTACAGTTTTATTGATGCTTCTATCCTGAACGATATCAGTCGAATTATATGTACTCTACTCTACTGAAATAAAACTGAGTTTCTAATTGTATCAGTGTAACTATATAATTTATTATAATTATTATATTATTATAAGGTAAAATGAGTATTATTAGAATTTGCAGATTGATGCAAATTCTTAACAGGCATTATCTTTCGTGCTAAACAACCTTCAATAGACTTACTTTATACTATGTTAATTTTTTAATGCACCATTAAGCAGAACTCAACATAACCAGCACGCATGAGCTCCAATATTTTTCTCTTGTGGGGGTTTCTCTTGTGCATCATTCTCAGATGATAAAAGTTGAAACCATTTACAAAAGTAATAAAGCTTAAATATTCTCTGTTGATATATCATACTAATACTACACCGCTGATTCGATGTAAATTTCACATTTTAAGTAAGTTAAACGATTGCCTGCATCGCTGGTTCGTTGTATTATAATATTTGTGAATATAATTTAATTATAAACTAGTGAATTTAAACGTTACACATGTTAGCTGTAGATGTGTTTATCGGGTCTACTTAGCATCTGACGTCCATTGTTTGCACTAACTATAGCCATAGAGTTCTACAGCGACACCTATAACGTGTTGCACTACCTCAGAAGAGTTTCTTTCGGATAAAAAAGAAATCGACTTTTCAAAATAATATCTCAACTAAAAAATCTAAGTTTCTAGTTAACTCGGAAAAGTTGCTTTCCAGAAAAAGAGATAGTTCAACTTGCTCAATTGTATTCAATGGATATGCAACAACTTCTGAACGAAAAAATTAGAGGCACTCGAGCTGAAGGATTAGTAAGACTCAGAGTCAAGCCAGAGGAAAGTCTCCAATCCAATCCAATCCAATCCATCGTATGTACAAAAAATCGGTGCATAATACAAGCGTCACTTGCTTGTTAAAAATGGTGTACGTGTCGCCGTTAGACGCCTGGAATGGGGGGTCGTACAGGTGAAGGGACACAAGAGTGAAGTTTTCATTATAGATAATGTTACGTATTGCGTTCGCCCTATGATATATACATAGTAACGTATACAATGTAGGGAGCTCACTGATTGTTTTATACGTTCAATCTCCATCTGTTTATGTTTGAATCGAATCGTCACATTGTCATACCGCTGTTGACAAGCGTACTCACTTTTATAAGATAGAAGTGGCGTTTATAAATCGCCTTAGTTAAGGAATCCTTGGGTTTGTTTTCACTTTGTCGAATGTATATACGTCCAAGTAGGAAGCCACCAATAATGGTGGTGCAGAGTCTTCTTGTGAGAATCGAAAGCCATTTGAGCTTTCACGGTTGACATAGCCGTAGTGCTCAAATTGTCACCAACCCACTGACATATAATGATAATAGGTGGCTAACTATTTATAGCTAATCTTGTTCTTATTCTTAAGGTCACTCGTATAAAATGGCACATAAATGTCGCCCACAATAGAGTGATTTAGAGTCAACGTCCACACACCTAGTATGACACAAACTAAGTGATTGACTATGCAGTGCAACTATTATGGCCGTGCTTGCAGTCTTCTCGTTGAGACGAGGCAGTGCCTTCGCTCAGTAGCTTCAGCATTAACACTGACACTGCAGAGGCAGCGACAGCTGTGGTACTAGTGCTGTACAGAGTGTATGGTACCAATTGGTACAATCGTCTGATATGAGGCAACTCCACAAGCGGCTTCTCTGCGAGCGTACCGCCCTGTTTCCAAGGTGCTTATGATGAAACTCCGGGCGGCTGCTACAGATGCCGAGGCGAGCGACCAACCTCCGCTAGAAATAGGCGATGGTGGTGATGCTGACGACGATGTCTGAACTGACCCATCATTCTGAGGCCTTGGTCAAAAGTAGATGTTGACGGAATGACAAAGAAACGCGACAACTGTTATGTTGTTTGTAGAAGCAGTCTTCTCTCAGCAGCACACACGATTCAACAAAACAGAACAAAACGCCGGACGCAAACATCAGGGAGTAAGCGAAAACATTAGAATAGAAGAACCACTATCTGATCGGGCTTCTTTAAAACCAATGAATTCTGTGTGGCTATATCTTAGCGGATACTGATTAGAGCACCACTTTCCGACACATTTTGTTGGGATATATTAATATTGTTGTTATATGTGCTAGAACTTTCTTTCTCCATCAATAGATTTCAGCGTAGGAATTTTTTTTATACCAGATGGCGCTTCCCAGTTCAGAACAATTGTTATCTGTAAACATAGCAATCGAAAAAATTTTCAATAACGCTAAATCAATTCTGTATCGTGCGAATAGGCAAGCTTGGCAGAGCACATTTGAGTCGAATGCTTAGACCCAAGGAAGAATTATTTTGGTGTCTTGTTTAAAAAAAGAAGCAAAACCTTAGCTGATCTAAATAAGCATAAATCATCTTCATTCATTACGAAGAACGCGTCAACTCAGTATCGAACGACGTTTTTCATCAAAGCGATGCTAATCAAGTAGGCGATGGTGTTTTCACGGATGCTGCTGGTCCGGTTGAAGGAATTCTATGCCTCTTACCCGTGGTACTTATGCAGTCTTCCTGTGCGTACATTAAAATCATGTGGTAACACTGCAATGTCCAGAAATTGTGTCAACTAGCCATTTACGTCGCGCACACTTTGTTCCAAAGCCAGCTCACGTTATTGGTTGCAAAAGATTGGTTTCCAGTTGCCACCGGACGCCATTGCTGCCTCCGGTAAGTAAATCCATCAGAACTTATTCTCGATGCTCTGAATCTCAATGATACTTATGTCTATAATACTATTTGTTGCTGTACGCACATACTATTCTAACCAGTCGCTCACCCCAGTGAATTTTTTTGTATGTTAATATAAAAATATAAGCTGCATTGAATAATGTGACGTTACTTTATAGTAATTATAGTGATCCCTGTCGGTTCTTCAGTATTAGGGAAAAGTATTCTACATTCAGATTACTCGCTATTAGAGACATTTCCGGTTAAAGAATATAGACCGGATATTCCCATTAACCGTAAAAAAAATGTCATATGTTTTTTTTTTTTATATATACCGTCGACATTTCTGTTTTTGGATCACGTTAGGATTACCTATGACACTAGAGCCGCTTTCAAATCCCTATGTTTATTCGATAATTGTCTAGCTCACACACCACGCCGAAATGTTGTTTTCATAATGGAAGCCATATATTTTTATGCTATATTATTATTATACAGATGTTTTCATGTGGGTGAATGAATCCAATGTTGTTCTTAACTGGCCCAGTCGCTGCGGCGGATTGGGCACTCTCATAAAAGTTGTTTATATCTCTTAGATTACTATGAAGTGCTTAGACCAAAGCCTTCTAAACTGGAGAGAATACGATATGAGAGTAATCAAGGATGGAGTTACTCTAACTTCTTTAAATGTAGATTCTTGTAACGCGAGTTACAAGGATCTACATTTAAAACAAGAACAATTATTCATAGGTGTCACTATAGACGAGATTTCGACCGGTGTGGTAAATTAAAAATTGAGGGAAAAGTGAAATTAGTGGAAGTGATTCTAAATACGTTACTTTCTTGTAAATGTGCAACTTGTACTTAACTTTATTTCAACGAGGCTGACTGCAAAAACGCTAATGTAAACTAAGTAGTTCTCCATCACACAGGACGCCTACGCCTTGGCTCTTAAAATATGGGATAAACCATGGGCTTTCTTTCGCATCACCTCAGGGCTTTTATTTTTTTTTACCGGCATCCGTCACAGTGGCCTGTTATCACGGGCCTGAATACCTTTGAGACCGCTGCTTACCGTAGCCACGGACTTAACTTGCGCTAGGTTTATCGGCTCAAAAAAGGCCCCAGATGAAAAATGAAAAGGCTAAACCAACCAGGATTTAAGCAAGTAATTGAAATAAGCAGTGGTCGAGGAGGTGAAAGCACAATTAGACAATGCAATTAAAGAACTTTCTTACAAGGGCGTGTAGATAGGTCGACTAGAGAAAATCTCGGCACGAAAGAATAAGACTCCTGCCAAAATACTGGCAGAACGAGGAAATAGCGCAAGCACGAAATACATTAGATTTCATGTTAAGGAAGGTCACAAAAGCAAGAGCCGAGATAGAAGGCTGATGAACCGACGCAAAAGTATAAAATATAGCAAAATCAGAAAGAACATAAAAGAACAAGGACGCTTATGAAGAAATTTATCAAGCAGAGCGAAAAAAAAAACGATTTGAGGGAGCTAGTAAAGGCGATAGAAACCGACATGTAATAGACTTCCGTAGAGCATTGTCATAAACAGGCCAAAGAACCGCTGCCCCAGGCTATCGCCTGACGCCACATGAAGGTGGTCGAAGCCTTGTTTCTGACGAAAGCGGCCAGAAAAGACGGTTGCATACTAATCAGTAACGAAGAAATCGCCGAATCAACGATAGAGAAGGCGGAGGAAGCAAAGCAAAAACTAGCACTAGAAGAGACGCCAGAACTTAACGGAGTCCTTCCAGTGTGTTTAAACCCCTTATTAAGAGGTAGCCAAAAATTGTTAGAGGATTAAGAAACGGACTTACGACTGAAGGAAGATCTCTTGATTCTGATTTTTAAGCTAAATTGTTCATCTTACACTCTGATATACCGACTTAATAAGGCAGGTAACGTTATGAAGAATGTTGTAGTAGAAACAATACAGAAAGAGATTCGTCAAAAGCAAACGCTCTCAAACTCTTAGTATGGTTTTAGACGTGGAGGCTCTGCAGGCGGAACTATATAAAAAACGCTTAATACGGCACATAGGCAAACACGCAAGACTCGGAACGCGAGGTCTTTGTCCTTCTTATACTGATGGACGTTAAGAACGTTTTCAACAAAATGTATTGGATACTGACCGTAAAGGCTTTGGAGCGTAAATGTGTTTCACGTCAAATACTACCATCCAATCTTAAAGACAGGCCACTATGGGTTGGAAAGCAACAAAAACGGGTTACTGTTAGGCTTTCACACGACTTGATCCACGGGCCACGGATCTAGGCTATGGTGGAGGATTACAGTTGGCCGTTCTAGTAGAGAGGCCGAGACGGTGGCAAACGAGGCCCTTACCCAGGTGTAGTAATGGATAGCAGAGTGTCGCCTGTACTTCGCGTGGTAGAAAGGCGACGCAGTCTTTTTAACTAGCAGGAAAAAAATAGGTAAAAAAACTTTTTTCGAAAAAGTCCACATCTCCATGTGAAAAAAAGGCACGATATCTGAGAGTCATTATGGGCACAAAACTTACACGTATTGTACATGTGGAAACAAAGGTGCACCGGACAGACTGTCAACTCGTAACTCTACCAGAAGTCTGAGGGGCTAAGGAACACGCCAGAAGACTGTTGCCGACAGTAATAGTAGAGTATGCAACGCCATATGCCTGTCCTGTATGGGCGGACAGAGCCTTGACTCCGTAGGAGAAGAGATATACTCCGCTATCTGCGTAGAGAACAGTCATCATCCGAATGGCTAGAGCTTGCAGAACGATTTCGACCAAAGCGGCACTGGTAATTGCAAGAAAAATGCCATGGTATATTCTAGCAAAGGCACGAGCGCAAAGAGCGAGTGATGAAAAATGGGATCTCATGTCTGTAAAGACATCCACTTTAAACAAATATAGCAGTGGCTGCATCAGCCAAATTCCTAACTACAGAGGGCACTTACAGGTCGAATGGACTAAATCATCGATCCTAACATAGATCATATAATAGATCCTTCAGTAGGTGTCGTATGACGTCAAACACGTTCTTTGTAGACATTTACAATTACACCCAACATATATGGTATGCTTGTTAATACCTGTGTACTATGCAACTTAAGAAATACGGACAAATGTGACCATCGAGAAGTGCCGAGCACTGAAAGGAGCCCGAAAAGATGCTGCACCCGTGAAATTATTCCAACTCGACACGAGATACATGCCTATACAAATAATTAAGTCTAAGAAAAACCAAGATAGAGGAGGTGGTCCTCATAGAAAGTATCATGCATCTAAAGAGAGGTTTTAAGGGGCAAAAAAGGACCAACGAAACAAGTTGGGCAGCGGAATCTGCCGCTACTTTGGTTAAACCGAACCGAACGAAATACTGAACGAAAATCTATACTCTATAATCAGTTCTGTAATAATATTTGAACAACAATGTCTTCAACAAAGAGCTATGCACTAAAGTATTGCTAACACGGTTTTCGAAAGGTTTAAAGATACCTTTCATTAGGTTAGGATTAATTTTTATTTAGTTAAGGTAAACTCCTGCATCCCTAACAAAAAGGCTATAGACCATTATTGCTTAGTACATTCGTTTAACCATATTTATCCTCTTACAGGAGAACGCGAGAGTATCAAACTCGACGGACTCCGTTTTAAATAATTCATATTTTGCAGTTCGTATGAATACTTAGAAACTTATCCCTGCTAACTGATTGATGATAGAGGTTTGACAGATTTTTTCCTCTTGATATAACGGACTGTTTTGTTTCATGTGCAAAGGGATTATATGTGTGAAATCAAAACATTAACCGGAAAGGAACGAAGCTGTGAAAGACAGCTGCATCGTTCAGGAACATGTCTATTGTGATAAGCTATAACGTAGCTTCTCTTTATTGACTTAAGATATGTATATTACGCATAAACAGCTCGAACTTTAGAGGTTCGCTAAGTTAGAAAAGTGCTTTCTTTGTTTCAGCAG